CTGTTTAAGAAAGAACAGTATCAATGCTAAAAGAGAATATGCGAAATCCGGCGTAAAGAAACAGGCACATAAAATGATTTCACTATCCAACTCAAAATTTCCTGCAATTGAAATTGGTTCGAATGCTTTAGTTAGGGTGCTTGATGTTAATAAGGGACATGCAACTACCAGAAATGTTTTAGCTGTTGTTATGAGTATTAATCCATCGGGTCTCTATCAGTTAGGAAAGAAGGAAGGTCTTCTCGATCGACTTTAAGCTCGTAATGAATTTATCATTTCTGAAGGCAATATTAACATTCAGGACGTACCGTCAACTTCATTAACACTTCGCTTCTTGTAAAAATAATTAACTTTGCAACATTTTTGATTTTCATAAAAAGACTGATTTATTAATATATTACAAAGTAATTATTTTTAGTAAATTAGTTCTTAGAAAATGTTGACATCTCGTGAACCGCAACAATTTCACGAATGATTAAATGTTGTTGAGAAGTATCCAAGTTCATTTCTCTACGTCGTAAATAATTTTTTTACCTCCTTATATAAGATGATTGAAGATAAATAAATATAATGAAAAGAAAGTTTTATTTTCTTATCATCATCTCGGTATTTATTAACATCCAGAAGTTGTGGCTTTTAACCATAATAAATCAGCCGCACAGTGTTTTTAACTTTAGCAGCTGATTTTTATGTCATCGTGTAGAGTACATCTAGCTCCTACTAGTACATGTAGTTTGAAATTTAGCACTTTTAAGCAAACCAAAAATATGTCGTCATAGTATTCACTTATTATTTTATAGTTATACATTGGACTCCCACAGATGTCGAGTAACTCCATAGAAAAACAACACTTACTAAACATAAACGACATTATCCTAAATCCGCCATAGAAAGACTAACCCTTCCACTTAAAGATGACGGAAGTGGCTTGATTGACATAGCTAACTTTCACTACAAACAAATACAGACACTCCTAAAGTTTTTCTACAAAAAACAAGAAACATCACAGTTACATAAAGCACCGACTCTAGCAGACTCACACCATTAAACTTACACTAGCAACGTATGGACACAACAACATATGAAAAGCATAGATATCATTAAGCAATCGTTGGTTCAAAAGGAACTCCATGACAGGCATCCCTGCGAGCTGTCCGAGGATTTTGTTGACAAAACAGCTAGTTAGCTCAGGGATATTTCTTTAAGTTATTCATGATTGCCATACAGGATCAGGTCATAAATACTAAAATCTACAGAAAACACATACTCAAAGATACAACACTCACAAATGAAACATACAAAAAATGTCGTATCATGCCAAAAACTATACAACGCATCACTTCTGGTTCCAAGCTCTTGGCACAGACAGATTATTTACATAGACATAATCAAGTAGTAAATATAATACACCGAGCGCTTGCAAACAAACACAAATTATTAGACATCCACGAACCATTCTACAAATACATTCCACAGACAGTATTGGAAAACAACACGCACAAACTGTACTACGACAGAGAAATAATCACAGATAAAACAATTTACCACAACAGATCAGACATCACACTCATTGACAACAGAATAAAATCACATACATTATAGACATATCCATTCCAATCGCTCACAGTATACAAAACACACGCACTGAAAAAGTCAACAAGTACACGGAACTCGCCCAGGAAATAAGGCATCTGTGGAGAATGGATAGGGTGCTTATTGTACCTGGCGTTCTCTCCTCTTTAGGTGTCTTACCATACGCGCTACACAATATTACAATTGAATCGAAACACACACATCACACTACAGAATGCCACTATATTGAACACATATCATATTATAGGAAATTCCTGAATACAGACACACACACTGACAGACTTGTTTAATTTTTGTCTTGTTTTGGTCACTACGCCTTGACTCTGGCCCGGCATAATACACAGCCACCGCTGTCAACCGACTAAACCCAATACAACAATAACGCAGAGCTAGGAGTTGAAAGTTGAAATTTGCTTTATACATAGGAGTACGTCAGGAAACTGTACACTAAAAAAGAATTTTTCGAAATTGTTCTCCCGGCATGGGAGAGGAGAGGTTATTGCAGAGCTAGGAGTTAATTAGAGCTATTTTGTAAATTAAACATGTATTAATAAAATGATGTAAGGTTCGGTATACAGTGTTGTGCATTATTCCTTATTGCAGTTAAGGGGATCGTGGATATGCGTTACGAAACGTTACAGCATGATAAGATGGTAGTTGCAAAGTATAACAATACACTAAATTATTTAAAACTGGCTAACCGCTGTCGTAAGATACTTTTGGTGTTCTCCACTGAAATTAAAATATGATGGAAGTATTTTAACCAGAAATAAGTTATCGTTTTCGTACATTCTGAAGAAATATTGCCGGGCATATTAGAGAATTCTTTATAAAGACAAATGCTAAAGTTAGTTTCCAAATTGCCGTGTTATTATTTTCTTATATTGAATAACTGGAGATTAATATAATTAGAATAGAATCAGCGGCGGCCTTATCCATTGCGAGGCTCTGGGCGGCAGATCTTTGCGAGGCCCTTGCCCTTTGTGCAAAGTATGTGAATTGAAATAGTAGGCACTTATTAATATTAATATATACTGTACTATAAATTAAATTTATTTTATTGTTATAACTAATAGCCAAGGATAAAATAAAAAGTTTTAAATATCAACTTTTTTCTACTTGGNTCTCAAGTATAGTTAATGCCTCAGGCTGTCGATAGCTGTCCCGAGAGTCGCTGTTAGGCGAGAAGTTTATCTATTTGGTTAATAGATAGTTTTTCCGTTTTCAAGCGTTTTTGTAACTTTTTTCTACTGTTCTGTGAAAAAAAATCTTATTCGTAATTACATTTTTTAATTTTATATCATGCGTAAAGAAAGAAAAAGTATATTTGATTTATAAAAAAGTTAATAACGTAATTATTTTAAATTACAGACGATGATGTGGATAAATGATTAATACAAGTTTTAAATAGATATCTGTTTAAAACTGTTAAAACGAATATCTCAAATAATACAGTAGACTTATCACCCTGCTACTGGTAACATAAAAATGACAGTTCTATCATCAGAATGCAATCTACTGTCATTTTAATGTTATTAGTAGCATTGTGATAAGTCTCTGTTATCTCTACTATTGTATTTGAGATATTAGTTTCAAGAATTTAAGACAAGCTCTTTTATAATGTTTAAAATTGTTATATTGCGACATATTGTAAATGAAAGTTTTATACATAATGTTCTTGTATAATATATCTGTTTAGTAAATAGCTAATGGTAAAATAAGTAAATAAATTTGCATTTTACCGTTTTATTGTATTACGTATGTATAACAATATAATTAGGAAAATCATAGCTTATCCTCCGATACATTTAAATAGCCATAGAAATTTAATCCAGATAAAGACAAACTATTTTTTAAATAATTTATTAACTTTAACACAAAGTGTGATATACAATTTTATTTGATTCGGTATAGTGAGAAATAGAATTTGGAATGAAATAGTTTTGTATTTTTTGACACGAGAAATTACATTTCTTATGACACTCAGATTGGCTCTACATAGTTTGGTAATTTATATAATATTCTGCACTATTAAAATTAGAATACGAATGAAGATTTATTGATGGCTTCTACACCTGTCTTTTGTTTATATAGGCCTAAAACATCACTATCATGTCTTTCTTTTGGACTCGATGTCATCACTAATCACAATCACAGTTAATATCTAATAATACTGTCTGAACTCTTCGATCCTACATTTACCTATTTTATTTGTCAACCTCTAACTCATCATTCTCTAATCATCTCTAAGATATTATGTCTGTAAATATGTTGAATATGTTGTCTAAATAGTTGGAATTTCCTCTTTTTTTCTCTATCAGCCTATATTTGAAATTCAAGAACTAATTCTACTAACTTTTAATCCCCTTCTCTATTCTAACCTGTTCCTAACTTTTATTGGCTCAACTTTAATCTCTTTCTATCTCATAAAATTAATAAACACAATCTAAGTTGTGAATAACATATGTCATAGCTCATTTCTCACTGCAGACTACAATAATTTACCTAATATTAATAAATAAATAAAAAAATATGGGCTTAACCTCGATAAACTCCAAAGCCACCCTAAATCCGAAATCTCGTTTTTTGTAACACTTTAAATCTATCTTATCTTAATATTAACACATAGTTTAACATTTCTATACATTTACATAATTAAATATATATACTGTAATTCTCATCATTCCCTTTTCTTCCTGATTCAGAGAGTTCTCGGGAATCCCGAAGGCATTCCATATTAATAATGTAGACTATATACAGGCTTAACTATAGATTTTTTTACTACCTTTTCTTGCCCTTAACGAAAACTCCCAACAATATTGAAAAATGAACACAAATTGTAAGCGAAAAACAAATAGAATTAACGACATTTACGAATAAATAATGTTTAAAACCGAACTAAAATACGAAGTAGTATTTATAAGAAGTCCTATAAAAAAGACAAAAACAATATCTGAGTTAAAAACGAGAAAATTTCACATATTAATTAAAAGAATTTCGAATGTTTACAGCTGACTCTCCCTATGCTCCAGTCAAACTTACGCCTAATCGCGATCGAAGCACTCGAAGTGGCAGAAATATTTATTATGCCAGTATCGTCGCATTGAAGCTATTGGCAGCGCAAAGACCAGTATATCTATTGACTCTGGTACTTGTACGTATATTTAATTAATGTATTTGTTAACTATTCTTATCTTTTTATAGCTGTATGGAACCCCGAATTCCTTTACACCCGAACTCTTCGGTGCACGGCTCAGAGGAGAAATAATGGGGGTTTGTTTTACTTTGATACTAAACTGTAGAAGGCGAAATAATGAAGGCAAGTTGTCTAAAATCCAGTCCAAATATTCGGTGACTCAGGCGTATACGAGGCGTATATGTTCCGGTGTATCATATCTCTTGCCGAACGAAGCCACTCCCACCAAATAGAAACGAAAAACCGAAAGCAATTTCTGGACGAGAAGAACGAGTGGTCCTCCCGCATTTATCTAGAAATGTGGGTTTTCTTTCTCAATTTTTATGGCATTTTCGTGAAACAGAACATCCAAGCATCCGCACAGACATACTCCACAGATATGGGCAAGTCTCGTTGAAACACGCGACGATATATTCTCATCGTTGGTCTTACGTTTCTGTGCATTGTTCCTTGACCTTTCCAAGCAAATTCCCGCTAAGAAAGTTAAGGATCGTTCATAAATTAGTCTATATTTATGCTATTCCGAATTATTTGATCCGTCCAGATGAGATTTCTGGTCACCAGAGCGGTAGGCTGCCACCTTCATCGCTTGGCCATCCGACCTTAGCCTTCATTGTACTATATAATAATACTTAAAAGGGGTTCCGAAAGCTACATTATTCTATTAATTATGTGGGTACGTACTGTTCAGGTACAAAGAAGTTCGTTACGAAGTACCTCCCCATGCTAACGCTTCGCAGCGATTACTTGCGACAATAAGCAATAACAATACGGAACAATAAATTCGGATTAATTATTTAATTCATAATATTAAAATTGTTTAACTAAATTTGATATTGTTATCGTTAAATCGCAATAATTATCGAATTTGTAAATTCAAATAACAACATTCCATCGTTCGAATAAAAGAGTGAATCGATCGAAAGTTCGGGGAACGTCGAAAAATCTGCACGGAAAACTAAAAGAGTGGAAAAATCGAAGAAGAAATGGATAAGTCAGTAATTTATATGTCAGAATTACAAAACGAGCATGGAGGTTCGCTATCGCTTTGCCTTGACCGACGCTCCGCGTGTAGTGGCGCTCTTCGTTGCTCGCTATCGCTCGCACCTCAGCGGTCGCGTGGAGCGATCTCCACACCCCTAAAACTATATAACATTAAGTACTCCACGAACAATCAACTGGGCTACTCGGAGCCGGCATGGTCATCTCGGCTGAATTGTTAAACGCGATAATCTTAGCGGAGCGCGCGGCGTGACTCCCTATCGCGCAGTGAAAATAGACCGATTTCGGGGGCTATATCTCGCAAAGGGTTACGTGTAGAAGTATGGTTTCTTTGACTTTTTCGCTCCTATGGGCATGATCTACAGCTTTGTTAAGGTCCCAACAAATGTCATTCACATCAAAATTGTGCCATTGAATCGTTTTCATCTTTCTCTTCTGATGTTTTGTTGAGTTGTGACCCCAAGATGTTTATATTTTTGGACTCGGAACCTTGAACCGTCGAGAAATGCAAAAAATTTGGGCGTTTTTTCTGTATGTATGGATGTTAGTATGTGGGGGCATGATTTTGTTTATATTGTTTGAAGCTTAATAACTCCTGCGCTTTTCGTCGAAATTTTCTGAAATTTGGCAGTGAGATTTGCGTATTAGGGACATTGATGCTATTAAATTTTGGTGGTTAACCCTCCGTTTGTAAACACTAAGAGGGCTTTCTTAGCGCGCCCAGGGCCTACAATGAGGCAGTCGAGTGTTGAGAGACGAAGCCCGACATATCCGGGCTGGCCATTTCCAAAAAAGTTCTAGTGTGTTTGACCGGTCCGGATTCGATTACAGGTCTTAATTAAGCGGTAGGCTGCTATCTTAACTGTTGGGTTGTGTATTTCAATCTTTCAATCTTCGTACAATTTTCCTTCGCGATCATCATCTAGTCATTTCCAATCTGTTCCAAGATCTCTTTAACCTCATCTCTCACCAGTAGCCGAGTGTTTAAAACTGGTGTTTAGTTGTGGGTTTGCACCTGACCAACGGGCAAGTTGTGTGGAGGTTTCCGTGTTTTCTTCACGTCGGTACGTAATGAAGACGTACGATGGAAAAAAAGAAAGACTTCTGAAACACCAGGAATAAATAAATTATTCGGTAATTTGCATATAATTGCATTACAACATATGAGTGCTAACCTCAATTAACGGATATTTGAATTTTGATTTTGATCCCTGTTAACGGCTGTTTTGCCGTCTCTATGTAATATTTATTCTATGGTTTAAACACTGGAGTTCTATGAAATGTGGATGGTCGATGTTTGACTCTTCCTAGTACGTAAAATATTTGACGTTTTTGATATTTACATCTTTCTGATGGCATAGATGACATTCCCTTCGATTACACAAGTCAATAGATATATAGGAATCATCCTAATCTTTTCTGTAATTAGCAAATGTTTTGAAAAAATTTGTTTTCGAGCAGCAGATTATTTAGCAATGGCGCTACGCAAAACATTGCGTAGCACCATTGCTAAGCAATTTAAGTATTTTTTTCACACTCAATAATAATGGAAATAAAATATATAAATATCAATTAAATTGTCTTGATTATTAAAGCGATATACCGGCTGCTCGTAATTGAAGTATCCCTTTCAACGCTGTTTATAGCAGTCCAAATGCGTCCAAATTCGTACGGTGACATTGCAGTACACGTGGAAGACATTTCCGTAACCGAATTCTTATCAAAACTCGCCGATACGGCATATTTGGTGTTGCAAACAATAAGCAAAAAGTCTGTACATGATCTTGTACAGACTTTTGCTGAATGCGGTCCCAATTCTGAATGTATAAAACATGAGAGGCTTCTCACATTATGTGATCCCTGTAATGCTTCTAACATGCAGTGTAATGCTGTATTTCAAGATTGCCAAATTTATAAGAAAATAAATTGCTACCGCTTACGCTGAGATGTCACCATATTAGATTTGTTTGCGTTTGGACCACTAAATACACTTCTGGACAGCTTTGAATGGCGGTACTTTACGATCACCCGTATAATTTTGCGATTAAAATAATAGTTTTAACATATTTATCTAATTGCAGAAAAGATTCGAGTGACGAAGATGATTTTAATGTCATAACAAATGTAAAATGTGAAATGTCCTCCGGTAACCAAGAAATGGAAATGGGTGCCATGAATAAAAAATTACCTGGGAAACAAGAAAAGTATGTACTTAAAGAAAAAAGATGTTCCAAAAAATCAGTTTCGGATGAGAATACAAACAATTGGATACTAAAAGCAATTAAAAAACTTTGTCCATTTTTAAATTCCGTGGATAAAAATGAAACGTTAAATACCACAGAAAATGATTTAGATCCAGCAGAAATAATAGAAAAAATTCAAGTTAAATATTCCAAAGATGCAATCGAAAACTATAAATTTAAAATTCAAAATATGGTATTTTAAATACAATTTTAAATTGTTAAAGATGTTCGTAATTCAAAAAGATATAACTCGGGAACCGATCAGCAGAATGACGTCATATTTCACACAGAGACATCTGTTATCATGGAATTTTATTTTAAAAACAAAAAACGTTACTTACGAAAATATCCGCTAGGGCAGTAAATGGCGCCGCAACATCGTAGTGAATAACTCAAAATCTCTCAAAACTAACGACACACATGCTATTCTTTGTTTTTACGCAACAGCGTGATCGATATGCTGGAAACCATTGATGACAGCAGGCCGAAATTACCATATTCCACGTTTAACGACAGTACTCGGACTTCTGGAGTCCAGCCATTACAAGCGGACTGATGCATAACCGTACAGCGTGCCTTATGTATCGTAAGTTTAGACATTTTGCGCTAATCACTACGCCATTCACAGCTCTAGCGGATAGTTCTCCGGCTAATTTTTTTTTTTTTTCAATTAAAATTCCACGACCACAGACGTCTCCGTGTGAAGTATAATGTCATTTTGCTGATTAATTACCGAGTTTCATCTTTTTCAATTGTAAATTTTAATTACAAACACTGTATTTGACAACATTTTTAATTTATTAGGATAAAAATACATTAGAGAAAGAAATGAAGCATCTATTAAATAATAAAACGAAGATCCAATCGGATTTACGTACCGTTTACCAGCAGAAAAGTAATATACAGTTTAAACTTAGTTTCTATTATATCAATTGCTCATTAAACATAAACAAGTTTATCGCTATTTTTTCCAATATTTACCACTGAAAATAATCTTAAACGAACTTAAAATTCTTAATTAAAGCATCTTTAGCAGCAGAAATTAACGAGAAAGATAAAGAAATTTATGAATTACAACGTAAATTTCAACTTGCTAACCAAAGATCTAAACAGAGCTTCGATGAATTAAAGAAAGAAATTGGTAAGCAAATTAATTTCTAAATCTTTAATTATNGTATTTTTTGACACGAGAAATTACATTTCTTATGACACTCAGATTGGCTCTACATAGTTTGGTAATTTATATAATATTCTGCACTATTAAAAGTAGAATACGAATGAAGATTTATTGATGGCTTCTACACCTGTCTTTTGTTTATATAGGCCTAAAACATCACTAACATGTCTTTCTTTTAGTTCATCACTAATCACAATCACAGTCAATATCTAATAATACTGTATGAACTCTTGCCATCCTACATTTACCTATTTTATTTGTCAGACTCTAACTACCTGTAAGTTGTCTAAATAATTGGAATTTCCACTTTTGTAACTCATCATGAAGTCTAATTCCTTCTTTTTCCTCTAACGGCCTATATCTGAAATTCAAGAACTAAATCTACTGACTTGTAATCCTCCTCTCTAATCTGTCCCACACCGTTTTGGCTCAACTTTAATCTCTATCTCTTTAATAAACATAATATCAATTGTGAATAACATATGTCACGGATAGAGAGAGTTAAAATAATATAAATTAGCTATTTTTATATTAAAAAATATTCTCCATTGCGCCATTTTAAAATAAAATAAATACATTTCCAATTACAAGGGTCCAAAATAAATCTGGGGAACCCGGGATCGCACCGGACCGGGCAAAAAATCCCCAAACTTTTTTGGGTGTTTTTGGGGCCTGGTCGAACCCATAATAGACATAGTGAAAAGGCCGAATGGATAAAATCATCGAACACCGGTATTCGGTGGTGGATGCGTGCCCAACCATGCGAAGTTTTACGGGTTTTCTTCATATTTGTAACACTTAAACCGCCTGGTTTCCCATCGCGAGTCCTCTCGAAAGGTATCTCCCCTTGGCAGATCGCCCATTTGTCGCATTGTCGTATAGAAACAACACATAAACACCCTCTTAGTGCCCACAGAACGGAAAGTTTTAAAAATAAAACAAACGTTGTGTTAAATTTTGGTTGTGAAAGGTCAATGGGATGGCGAGATAGGGCTGTTCACGTGTCATATCTTGCAAGGGGTCAGACTTAATGAAGATTTTACTTGCTGTTACCATTTATAGCGTTTTATAAAACTTGTCTCTACCCTAAAAATTGAGTCTTTTTCTATTTTATAATAATTAAAAATATATAAAGGTTTTAAAACAAAATCTCGTAACAGATGGCGCCACATACAATTTTAGTTATTTATTTTGATTAATAACACAAATGTTATTTTTGAAATAAACTGTAGTAACTTTCCCGGCTTTTATGAGACTGACACACGCAACAATCCAGCAAAACGTCTTGCTAAGGTAGAATTAAGTGTACATTTTTGTTCACCAGTACCCTTCATCAGTTTGTTTTTATGTATTAACAGTGAAAAAACAAACCAACTGAAGGGTATCGATGAACCCAAAATGTACAGTACACTGTACAGTACATATTGGTTTAATGAAGAAATCCATTAGTGAGTTTTCAAATCATGTAATTGTAGATTCATAAGTCCTTTGGAATAGTAGCAAAGATGATTTTAATATAGCTTGAGAAACGAGTACAGATATTTGATGGGATGAAAGGACAGACTTTGAAATTTAACCCAGTTAATCCTCAATTAAGCCTGATACCACAGATTTTAGAATATTCTGTAGGAAAATGTTTCGTTCTTCGTATATAAATTAAGGGCAAGTCTCGACATACGCGTGTATTTTTTAGTTTTGTGATCCTTATTTTCGGAACAATTTACAGGTCCGTTACTGGGCTAAAAACACCCATTCGATGATTAAAATTATTACTGGAAAGGTATCAAAGATGTGTTTTGTGATATCATCATCAGATTTCATGTTATTTATAAAAAAAAGTGAATCTGTTTACTGAATTGGCTACTTTTTAGAAAACATTTATGTACATAAGCTAAAAACATCTGGCAACATGTGTTTGAGCCCTCAAGAGTTCGTACAAGACCCGGGTAGAGTGGATGTAAAATCATTAATTTATAGAGAAACCACTGCAGGTTCTAAATTTTCTCCGGACCCATGGAGAAATACCCAGCAATCCCTCTCCCGGGAGATCAACGAGTTCATTGTCCACTCGCATCAGCCTCTTATCTATTACGAGGATAGTAATACATTTTGTTCCGAAAGCATGCCTTAAAAAATATGCATGCCAGCGCATTCACAGACACGAGATGGATTCTTTAGCAAAACGAGTTCAAAAACAAATTTTTCAACGTGCCTAACCAACGTCACCAATGAACCTCTACTAGTAACTTCGTGCATGGTCTTCTTGTAGCCAAATGTGTGAAACATGCATCATTGCCATATCAACAATCATGCAATAATGTCATTTGCAAGGTATCAATACAAGTTGTTTGACACAAATGTGACACTTGACATTTGTAAGACGTGTGTCCAGTCGCGCCTTTGGCAAATGTCCTTTATTTAGATCTGAAAAAATCGACAAATCTAATTATCAATGCTACTTTACGGCAGGAAAAACAAACAAAGAATATTCTACAATTGCTTTATAGAGCCCGAGATGAATACAGTAGAATGATGGGGTTTTGCAGAGCAATTTGAAAAATCACGACTTACAGTACTATAAGGCGAAGTCCGCGTGCATTATTTTGATGGTTCTTTGTCATACTCCATACGGACTTTGAAGTTTTTCCCAAATTCAAAGGAATACATAGGCAATTATCATTTCACTACTGAAGTGTAACCTATTTTTGCCACATTGCTGCGGTGACAACGGGAACTTCTTGAAGACAGGACAAATGAGCTTGTTACAAATTGAAAAAGTTTGTTTGTTTTGTTAAGTTATGGCAACACAACACTTGGGTGATCTGCCTAGGGGGACACCTTCCGGGAAGTCTTTTTAAGGGTAACTAGCACCTATTCAGGCATTACAGATGCGGAGAAAACCCAGAAAACTCTACGTGGCCAACCCATCCTGGTGAGGTGCGAACTTACGACCTGAACTCCGTGTTCAGGGAACGGAATCGCTTGGCCACTGGTGGGCTTAAATTGAGAGAGATGCCCGAACGAATTGGATAAATTCATCGGTGGCTTACGAAATTTGTGCGTAAACAATGTTTTCGTTTTCCAAGTATTTTGCCTACATTATTGACTACGTAAAGTTACTTTTTGATAGTCCCGTGTACATCAACTAAACCAGTGGTACCAAAGGGGACAAAAAGAAGCGAGTGTGGGGGCAGGGTATCGAGCAGTAATAGGCGAGAGTTTGGATCACTGACAAACTTTTCCTTTCCTCCGTTAAAATGGGTAAGAAGAAACATTGTTTAATGGTTTCCAGATGTAGAGAACAATGTATGGTAAGGACATAAAGTGTGAGGTTAGTAGAAAAGTTTTTCTAAGGATATTTCCAAGCCTTTCTCACACCAGGGAAAATGGGTTAGGGGCGTTGGGTAAAAGTTTATGGAACTGAGGGGGTGAAGGCTTAAAAAAGAGTGAACGATCACTGAACTAAACCAAACCAATTCTAACATTTCACTGTTCCTTCTACCCTTTGCGATTCTATAAGCAGGCATTATACATCAAAAATAATTTTGAGTCAATTCAAACATTATAATTTATAAAGTTCTTCTATCGTATAAATATCCTATAAATACTCAAAAATGCTGCTTCTATTTTTAGTTGTCATTTAATTAATACCCTGGTTAACCAATTTCTGAGTCACCCCACGTATTTGTTAGTTTATTATTTCTATGTCACCAAGCTCCTTCTATGTGCAGATGAACTGTATGAGCTCTCGTCTATTCTAGTTTGGTATTCTTAATTCCCAAATCAAAATAACCAATAAATATTCAAAGAAGATTTATTTATTTACAATTAAATACAAAAAGCGGTAGAAATAGGTCGTCTTTCACTCATCCCATATTCTTTCTGTTACCACATCCGCGACGATGATCTGAAATACAGAAAATCTGTCAGTGAGAACTTATAACTTAGGAAGAAGCAAGGGATTTAATTGGAAATTCCTATCTGAAAAATTTGTTGCCAAATCTTGTATTCGTGTAGGCTTTGGCAGCGAAGTCAACAAGAAATGCCCAATAGAAAATTCATTAAGAAAATATTCGGAGGTGTAATGAATATGTAACCCATAACAAATCAATTTTGTGATAGGCAATAACAAAAACAAATACATAGTGGCCCTATGTATTTAATCATTACAGATACATTACAGTAAAGCCTCTTTATAATGAATGTTTGCAAGACCAAAAAGACTGTTATAAAGAAGTTTAAATGTTGCCTATGTGTGTGTTTAAATGTGCCTACATTATTTTTATTTATGAACGTATAATATAAAATGCAAAACACAGTATTATGCTCTGTTATTTTGTTTTTTACAGTTGTTTGTAGTAATTGTGTCTCCACGCATAACCAAATCTTGTGCTAGCTTTGTACCATTTGGGTATTTTCTACTGGTGTAAAACTTCTAGAGTTTGTACACATAGACAGGGGCCCACAGCCGATACCACTCAATTGATGACTGTGACAGATGTCATTTTGACTGTTATGTCACCATTGTCATCGTTCTCCCTTTCTTGAATCTCGGAAAGTGACTGACAGATTGTTTTTGTATCTTGCCTTGTGTGATTGGTGGGAATCTATGTGACCTAATAGTTTGCAATGATGGTAAATCCTGCTGCATTCACAAGACTTTGTGTCGTCTCCGTATCATCTGCAATAACTACTGCAAAATTGTAAGCATTCTTGTTGCCAGAATAAACTCCGACTTTGAAAAACAACTGTCAATTGTTGACGACGGAACCTGTTTCTGAGCACTCCAAATTTACGAAATTGCCCGGCAGACATTGACTCGTTCTGTTGGCATTTTGTGCGATGCATCACAGGACGTATATTTGTGACTGTGTGCTTTGTAATCATTTGTCTGTACCAAACTTTAAAATTTTGGACTGTGCGTTGATCCGAGAATCGAAAGAGTGAAGTGGCATTTGAGTGTGTTGAAGAATGGTAGTAGAAATATAACTGACATTTTCAAGCTGGATGACTGAATTAGCACAGTATTGTCAAGAAACATAAGCACTTTGCTGTTTGGCTATTCTAATCACTCGGCCATAAAGTTTCTTGTCATCCAGACCAGTGTTTGATTTGTATTCCATTTCAAATTTTGTAATATCTATATTCTTGACACCTTTCTAATTACTGGGAAGTTTTCATATTTGCCACTTGTACTTCCACGTAACAGAACTATTAATTGTCTGCCTCCCAAATATTGTCTGGAGAATAAACAGTTGGTAACAGGTAGCGTAGCCTCACACTGTCCCACTGTATTATGATCAACTCCAGACGATTCTCCATAAACAGCTTCAAAGATTTTCAAGCCATCCGAGGCTTTGAAGTCTGTGCCGCCTCATTCAAACACAAACTGTAAAGGTTTGGCTTATACAATCAGCACAGATATAAAAATATTTTGACTTCCGACTCTGCATAACCATTCTAAATATCGATTGCTTTGTCAACAAATGTGCTATTCCCTTCACAACTGTCAGATTTGCTTCCTGTCATTAAGATACCAATGGCTGAACAGATCTGGTTTCTCAATGACTTCTGTGGCTTGCATTTTCCCAATCTTTCCACACTTCTCTTAGTTGTGATAGTCAATAATTTTCACCTTGTATTTTACATGAAGCCCACATACAGATTCTCTTTTCCACATGGAAAAATCATGTATTCTATCTTCACCATAGATAAAGAATAGACATGGACAATTGTCAACTTCTTTATGCAGTACTTTTTGTTAAAACAAAATTTTTCTAAATAGATCCTACGTTTTTATACTGATTCGTAAAAAAGTTGTCAGTAACAGAGGGCTGTCTGTTATGTGGTTTCACTGTATTTACAACTGTACAAAAATTGTTCTATACTCAGTTTATGATTCAAGTGTACTGGATTAAATAAAAAGACAACTAACTTTTGGGCTACTCACTACAATTATACACTTGCAAAAATTTACCATTAATTAATAAATGTATTATTAATAAAATCAGACTGTGATGCAAGTACTAAATGCTGATATCTAAATTACAGATAACTGCATTTATTCTAGTCTGATACCTCACAGACCATATAAATATTTAATTAGATGACAGACTAGAAACAATATTGAATTTAGCATATAATTAATAACACGAAAATCAGAAAGTTACCGTCTTTCCAATCGTCCCATTCTCTAGCTTTCTTCAAAGCATCCGAATCATCGTTGTCAAGTTTTCTTTCCTCCTCCTCTTCCTCCTTTTCTTTTTCTGTTTGTGCTAATTTGGGATTCTCTGCCATTTGCTGAAGACTATTCCTGTTAATTATTAAGATTAAATATTAAAAACAAGCACAAACAAAAAACTTATGTGATAGTAAGTAATAAAATTTGTTTCTTTCTTTGCTTTTTTTAAAATATCCATCTTAAAAATGTAAGTCTCAAGAGTGTGGAGCTTAAGGCTGGGGACACAGATAAATAGAAATTTTAAAATTATATTAAAAGAAAATATAAATTTTTTATGTATTCAAAAGCTATTGACTAGATTCTTTCATATAGCTGATGGACAAATTTTCATTTTAATTGTCGAATCAAGAAGAAATGTGTTTATGTCAAGTTAAGAGAATCTGGTTAGACATTTCCTTTCTTGTTTTGCTATCAATTAAATATATACTGGAAATAATTTAATACCTAGAACTAATGATATAAAATACACAGGTCTAAATTTGATTACACTCTAACCAGCAATGCCAACTTAGGGGTTTTCTTCCCTAAATTTAGGGAAAAAAACCCATATTGGTTAGTAGAGTTTCAGTGACAAGTAGGAGCTCCCAAAAGTCACATGACTCACAACTGTTCTTGCAGCAAGTTCTGGAGCAGGTAACTTCATCACACAATGTTTTTAAATCAACTGTGCCCACATCCTAAAGTGAAAATTTGTGTTCCTCTGGATTGTCGAAAGACTAATATTTTTTTTATATGCATTGCACCCAGAGCAAAGCTATTTAGGGAAATAAATATGTTTCAGTTTTTAGGGAGAACTCTTGTTAGTTTTAGAGGTTTTCTCAACAGAGGGTTGGCAACCCAACTCTAACTCAATATAATCGTATTAGTATATTAATTAAGTCTTTACCGAGATTTACAGGTATTATTTCTAAATAAAAATATTATATTGACTTGAAAATGCTAAAAAAAGCCTTTACAATTTCATTGCAAAAGCTAAATTGTAGTATAGTAGAGGTTTGGGGAAGGATTCCTGTGAACATTTTGACAAAATTACAAACAATGCAAAATATATTTACTAGATTATGGCTTAATTACAATAAATTATTTTTAGTTAATGGAATTTACAAGGAACATGTTACAGAAGGTCTACGTTGTTAGTCAAGTAACTCATTGCATGCATTAGCAATTATGTTTACGATCGATATGAAAAAAGTCTCTGTAACTTATAGTCATTCTTAATCCTAATAAATGTACACTTTTACTTGTAATAGATTTAAAAATAACATTTTTTTGCCAAAATGTGAATTATTCAGCAAACAAAAATGAATTATACATGGTCTTCCAAAAGGAATGCTATCATTTTATATTATTCTAACCATGTTAATTATTACCCAAGAAGTACGCTACATACATCAATTGATAGATGAAACATGAATATTTACTCTATCATCTGCATACAAATGTCTCTTTGTCTGCTGCCTCTAGGGAGTGTCATAAATGAAAATGGTGACTCTGCAACAGAGAAGTTTTGTGTTCAGCAGTCCACAAAGTTGGAATCTGTTACCATTGTTCTACAACAATGTTTGCCTTACATGGTGGATCATTTTGAAATTATCTATGAAACTCAAAAAGCATTGAAAATCACGGTTCACAATAATGACTAATTCTGGCTTTACAGACTGCAGGACACAAAACACTTTCTCTGCTGTGAAATCGCCATTTTTGTTTATGGCCCTTCCTAGAGGTGGCAAACAAAAAGATGTTTGAATGCAGACAGAAGATTAAACTGGAACAATTACTCTATCAATTAGAATACTCCTTGGGTAATAATTAACATAATTACAGTAATTTAAAGCAAGCATGCTTTTTGGAAGACCCCATATTTAATAACATTAAAATCTGGAATCTTCTGGGGGAGGAAAAAGACATTCTAGTCAAACACAAATTGATTTACTACTAAACTGTAGAAAAGAAAAATAAATACTATACCATATTTAGCAGGTAACACTTATGTAAAGATAAGTTATTGTTAACTTCCCTTTATATAAATGATAATGTTATTTAATTCAAAAGCTTACATCTGTGTCATAGAGGCTAAGGGATTTGTGGAATCAGTTCAGATTGCTTTGCGTTCACAATTAATCATATTATTCTATATGGCAGTTCTCAAAATATCATTATTATTTTTGTGTATTACCAATTAATAACAGTGACTAACAAAGTGTATACTAGCAACTGTAATATCACAAATTAGTCAAATGTTAAAATTATTTAATGCACAAGTAGTCTTTGATTAATGTAGTAAATACATTCCTTGAAAACAGTGCATTAAGCAAACTTCTACACAATGCCTAGTAGTGACTTCTTTCAGATCATGTTATGTCAAAACATTACCATATAGCACAAAATATTTCAATAACTAACTGTTAAAACAAAAACATTAACTGAAAGCATGTTAACTAGCAATGGAACAATTAATCAAACATTTTCTGGATATCAGAACTGAAAAAGTCTCATCATGATTTCCAATTCTTAAAAACGATTCTTTCACATTTTATAAGAAAATTATTTATTTATTTCAGTTAAAGATTAAAAATTTTTAAATTACAATATTAACAATTAAATATTAGTTTATTGGAAATTTTCATGTTGACAAAGCAGAGTATGCAATGCTCCACATGCAAGGTGATGTCTGTCATGATAGACTTTTCTTTCGTGTAGTTAGAACAATGAGAGATTGCACTTAGTTGATACTAACTATCCCCATTTTAGAAGAGATAGGATGACTTTAGGGTTGCCGGCATTAGGCTGGCAATCTGTTTTGAAAATTTCAAAACAATTTTAATGGTTTTTAAAAACATTGTTTTAATTTTCAATTGCTTTGATTTTAATTTAAAATTAATTTTAACTTATTTTTAGTTTCGGTTTCGATATGAAGGCCAGAGTTTAATTATTATTTTAATAATTTTTATTTATTTAATTTTGCCTGCATTTTTTGAGCCCTTAATTACAATTTTTTTTATTTAATTACAACTCTGTTTTCTTTTGCGATGTAACTATATAAATTGTTTTAGCGTTGTTTCTCACAATACATAATCAAATTTAAATTTATTTTAAATTTTTTGTAATTTCATTTTGTTTCATAAATTTGCCTGCTTTTTAAAAGTTTTAATTATAAATGAGTTAACATCAATTGAAGAACTATTGGGCTATCTACTTTCGAATTGAGGCCTGCGGTAGGCGAAACACTTTAAAATGTAAACAAAATTATATTTTAATTGAAAAATATTATATAAAATTATTTTTAATATTCAGTAGGTTTAATTATAATGATAAAATGACTTTTCTCATTTTAATTATGAGAGTTTGTTATGATTCACAGATGATGCTGTAATGTGTAAAATTTTCAAATGCAATTCATGCGATTCTAAGTAAATATACTTGTTCGCGGTAAGTTTAATGCCATTTTGAGTTTAAATACTTGGTTATCAACACAAGTTGGTCTAGACATTTGCAGCTCAAGCTAATAAATTCAAAAATTGCAGCTAATAAATTCAAAAATCGGTTAATTTGCGACAATAATATTTGTTTGGCGACCCCACGACATGAGGGAATAGTTAGTTGAGTAAAAGGGAATCAGCTGTAATTTCTTTGAGGGTAGAGTCACAATATTAACTTTATCCAAAATAAGATTAAAAATTTATTTTGTAGTACATAATAAAAGTGTGTGTGTGTGTGTGTGTGTATACATATAAATGGAGAATTTTCACGTTTCTTTTGAAAGATTGATTCTGGATTTCCCAATCATTTTCCATTCTTAAGCTTGATGTTTATTAATTAATGAATGTACCGTGCTTATAATGTAATTTGTTAATTTTTCTAAACTAAAATAAACTTTAGAAAGTATTGAAAAGAATAAGAATCAGAAGAAATTTTGGTATTGTCCCATTGCTAATGTTAACCAAGGACTACCTACATATTACACTAAATATTTTATAATACAAAGATTGTTACTCAATAAAACTTACTTGGACGAGGGCATATTTTGACCTCCTTCACCATATTTCTGATCATAGAATTCGTCAACGGTCATTATAGGAATGCTCGGATAGCCGAGTCCAAACACTTTCTTCTGTAATTCATTTCTTGTGATGATGACAGGTTTCAAAGGCTGTAAATAAATACATATTTTAATAAACTTTGGTAGTATGCAGAATTTATTCACATTTTATTAATATTTGTAGAAGTTAGAATGCGACCGACAAAAATTTAACCAATAAATCAATCTCTTATCTCTCAACAACAAACATTAATCATAACAAATGTTTACCAATAAAAAAAAAAAAAAAAATGCAATTGCATCCACATACAAAAGTAAAATGATTCCTCTTTGCTCTTTGTTATTTAAATAATTTAAAAGTGTTTTTAACTATTAAAATTGTTTTTTGATTGTTGAATTTCTGGAAAGTATTCAATGACAAACAATCGGATTTCCATCATTTACCTCAATAGTAAGATATAAATCAAAATTCCTAATGATTTCCACCATATAAAAATAATCAAACTTAGATTCGAAGGAAGAGGTTTGAAACATGCCCCGCACAGCCTGGATAATCAAATATCCAAGCAATCTGGTTTTCATTGTTTCAAATAAGTGGCAACTTTTGGTAAGTGTTTGATGGTTTCTCCTGACAGATATTAAATTAATTACTATGAGGAGAAAAGTGCTGAAGGAAAACAACTAATTCTATTTTCTATTTAAAAATGGCTCAGCTAAAAAGTGCAGAGGAGTAAAGAGCTTTTACTTTGTATTATGGGTTACAAAAATTCATTTGATGTTCTTTATGAAAACATAAATAATTTAGGCTTTTAAAGACCATATTTTATAAACAAACAAAAATATGCTTAATTCTTTAAATTTTGGAATTTATATTTTAATTTACATAGCAAAGTATTTGTGTTTTTCTTCTATTTTATTACAAATTTATTGTATTTACTTGTACTTTTAGATTTCAGTCTTGAATATATTAAAATTATAAATTATTTAAAATAATATATCTTAAAGTTAGAAATTCTTTCAAATTTCAATCATGTATTTAGTTTGACAGGAAAAGTTTCCTAACACTGAAAAATACTGGCACTATTGATTTTGTAGGAATTCTAGTAACAAAATACCAAAATTTGTCTTGTATTGGGCTTCAGAAGATGAGAAGTAGGAATTATCAAAAAAATTAAATAAATTAAAACACTACATCTTTCTTCTAGAAGCCTTAAATATGTTATTTATAAGAAATGTTCACAAATGTGTCAAGACTATCATGTGGTACTAACTCACTCGGCGGGACCGTTCACCGAATGAGCTGGAAACATGCAACACTCCCAACACATTTGTGTTACTGCTTACATAACTAAGGACTAGGCACTTTGGCGACTCTCCGTGGCTGGACAAGCAATCCCTAAAAGCACGCCCGGATGGCCAAGTGGTTAAGGCAACTGTCATGTCATTATAAAAACACAAGTGAAACAAATAAGAAATAATTACCTTCTTAGAAACTTCTTCCGTAACTTTAGATTTTTGATCTTTTAATAATGGCATTTGTTTCAAGATAAGTTTTTCATCTAGTTAAAAAACAAAAAAAGGGAGAGAGAGAGTACATTTTATTTTTTAAATTATTTAGAAATATAGTTTGCATATTAAATTTAATTAAATTAAAATCAAGAACCAATGCTTTTTCTCAATTTCATTATTATGAGTCAAAACAGAAAAAATAAATATATAAATTTTATACATTTTAGTAAATTCATTTGTGAAATTAAAACTAAGTAGAATTCTAAAAAAAGTCTTGCTCATAAGAAAAGCAATCAAATCATCATTTCAAATGATATTATATTTGATAAATGTAATTAAGGAGTAATAACAGAAATCATGCTGCTAAATAATCATTTAATGCAGTGGTTTCCAAGCTTTTTTGATTCACAGCACCCTTGCTAAATCCAAATTTTTCCAAGGAGCCCTATGTCAAATTCTAACAAGTACAATCTGTGAAATAGCGAAATAACCAATATTTTTTTTAAATTAAAGAGTTAGAACGTTAAGTAAAAAATAAATAAAACACATATTTAAGATAACAAAAAATGTAATTGAACAAATTCAATTAATTATAATTAGTGGGCTAAATGAGGCTGTTAATCACTGCACATTTTCTCAAATCTTGGAATCAAGCTGGACACAGTCACCCTCATTTCCTTCTCCAAACTGATTTTTGTGCAATGCTTAGTTTTTATAACAGCAACATACTCAGATTTGCACAAATAAAAAGTTACAAATGGAATTAAGATTCTCTGAGCTTTACCATGCATTATCTTTTACTGATATCCAAAATTCAGTTAATTCCATGCTGCTGAATTTTGTTTTCAATGTATTGTCGCAAAACAACTCAATAAGACTCTCTTCTTCTGCAGCAGTAAATTCAGATAGAGCACTGGCATTAAATGGATCTTGAATCCATGAAAATTTATTGATATTATCATTTTGAAAATATTTCTCAAACCAGGTAATAAACTGTGATAAATGTTCTTCAAAAATAGATTTCATATCTTGAGAAATCAATTCCATTGGAGGTTAAAAACTGTTGTGACAAGAAGAATTATTCTTTTCCTGTGTCTTCATTTAGTTTTCTTTTCCATAGATTTTATTTTTTTTAAAAAAAAGGTGAAATTTTCTCAATTGACTTTAAAAGATGCATGTTGCTTCCCTGCAGGGAGAGATTTAGAGCATTCAGCTTTTCAAAAATATCATAAAAGTATGCTAGTTTTACCAAAAAATCTTCATTCACAAAATTTTCGGCATATTTGTGGTTTTCCTCTTTAAGAAAAATATAAATTTCCTGTCAGAGTTTAAACGTATGAGACAAAACATTACATCGAGAGAGCCATTGCTCTTTTGTGGTAATGTTTTGTACTTTCTTGAAGTAATGTAGTACAGGTATACCTCGACTTACGTCGTTCCCGATTATACGTCGTTTGTCAAAAAAGTATACGGAAAAATAAAAATCAGGTTTAAGTCATTTTATTCAACTTTACGTCCGTCCACCACAAATATTGAAGTCGTAATATCACTAGAAAAGCGTTTAAAGCACATAAAATCATATTAAAATATATACATTTACAAGAATGTACTGTATTTACAGTACAGTACATGCATTCGTAAATTTAGATTACTTTTTTCTGTACTCTATTAAAAACTAAAATATATTTGTTTGTGAGCTTAAAATAGATTCTTATTAACCATTATATTATTGAAAATGCATTAATAAATAAAATACAGAACTGGGAATAGTAATTTATGGTTTAGCCTAGTGACAAGTAGATTCAGAGACAAGTAAATTCGACTTACGTCATTTTTCGACTTAAGTCGTTTTCCTGGAACCAATTACCGACGTAAGGCGAGGTATACCTGTACAACAAAGACGTGTGCTCGGATCCCATATCCACACACAGTTTTCTGAAACACCTTGCCTTTAATGATTGAGTTTTTATAAAGTTTACTACCTTTACTGCATATTCTAATGCCTGGTTCAATGCAAGACTCAGATATTTTGATGTGGTTGCTTCCCTGTAAATAACGCAATGGGTCCAAAGTGCATCGGGTTCTTTGCTTCGAAAAACTGCTTACAATCCTCCATAATATCCAGACATAGAACAAGCACCATCAGTACAGATACCAATGCATTTGATCCACTCAAAATTATTTTTGGATACAAAAATAAGAGTATCAAGAATCTCGAACAAGTCATGAGTCTTAGCAGTGATACTTTTACAAAAGAGAAGATCTTCTACAATGTTATTATTGATACTACCTATAAACTGTACATAGCAAATCAAGAGAGCATCATTATTATTATCTATGGCTTCATCAAACTGCAACTCAAATTCCTTCCATTTATTTTTTCAATTAATTGAACATTGGAGGTCCTTTGCTGTGTGCTGTATTCTGCAACTGATGGTGTTATTGGACAAAGGCACTTTAGAAAGCTACTTCCCAGCAGACCCACCGATCATAATGTTCACCATATCTACAGCAGCCTATAGAATGAGTTTTTCTACGATAGTATGAGGCTTTTTACATTTTGTGATTGTATGTGCCACCTTTATTACTGAGTTAATGATTTGCATCAGGTCTGCTAGATGTCGAATCATATCAAATTGAAATGAAAGTGGAAGTAAAATTATAAACATTTTATAATATTTTGTGGTGCCCTTATGAGGAAGCCATGGCTCCCTAGGGCACTGCAGTGCACACTTTGGAAACCGCTGATTTAATGTTTAAGCAAATCTGATGTAATAAAGCAATAAAATTATTCTATTTATTAACTAATAATTGTTTAAAAATTATTTTTCTAATATTTTGTTGACTAAAAATACACATATCCCTCGTACAATAGTTTTGCTCTAATACAATTTAAAAATTGGAAATATCCCATGTACAGCATGACCTCTGGTTTCACTCCAACATAGTTTTGGAACTCCTCCATACAAAATTTCACAACTTTTAAGTGTTATTAAATTTATTTTTTAAACCATAGGTAAATAATCATTTGTAAAAATGATGAATGAAATACAGTGGTATTTTGGTACTCGAACTGTTCCCAATTGGAACAATTCAGTATTAGAGCACAAATTCTGAGAAAAAAAGTTAAGAAGAAAATTGCTTGATACCTGACTAAACAAATGCAATCTGCTAGAACAAATTATTGATTAATAACATATTTTTATTTTGCCATCCATAGAAAATTATGATTAAAAAAAAATAATGAAGACATTGCTGATATTTCTGATCAAGATTAACAAAAAAGCTCAGATGACAATGATACTTTGAAAAAAGAAAATGCCATTGTTTAACTAAAATTAATATTAACAGTACTTTTAATTGTGCATGTTAGTTAATTATTGAAAATATAAACATCTTTGAAACCCAATACATTACAATAAAGCTACAACAACTGCAGTATAACATCAGGCTATGTATCAGCTATAATAATTATAAGTTACTGAGAAATTTGACCCTAGAGAGAGGCATTAGGCACCATCTCATATTAAATTTAATAATTATAACTTAATTAATAATTTTAAATTAAACTGGAAGAAAAGAATCAGCCTGGAGCAAAATTTGAGCCCGCAACTCCTGCTTGCTGTGAAGATGCATTGCAAATTAGACTACCCAGTCCTCCTCTTTAAGTATATTTAACATTACAATATAACCATGAGATCAGACTGTAGGTCCAGGTAGCAAATTTGAGTAACGAATTTAAGGAAATATCGAGTTACAGAGTTTTCAAAATAATGTTAAAAATTTATCTTGTCATGGCTTTGTTAATCAACTATTCAGTTTAATTTTTCTTGTTTTTTCCCCTTGTTTTTGGTTTGTTTGTAGACACTTGAAAAAGGCCTAATGGCCATATTGTCTTTTCTTTAAAAAAAAAATAAGAAAATAACAACAATAATAATAATAAAATTGAACAGTTGGGCTTGTACTCCACAATAATTCATGCACCACTACTTAAATTGGCTGGACCTTAAATCACAATATCAAAATTATCCGAAAAAAATAATCTCTCTGTAAAATTAAAAGTATTTAAGTTTGCATAAATCTAAAAGTACTTACTATAAATACTTGTCAATTCTTCTAAAGATGTGTCTATCCATTTTTTAATTAAGAGTAAATAGTATTCCCTCTAAAAACATGAAATTATTTGTTAATTTTAAACATTTTATCATCAAAAACAAAACAACAAATATTTTAAAGAAATTCTATTTATATAAAAATATATTTTACTTAGTATTTCTGAAAATGCTTACCTTAATTTCTTCATCAACATTTAATTGCTCCATAGACACTCTCAAATTATCAATTTTCTTTTCCATTTCTTTCTGAAGCTTGTAGCGAGTGATTTTTTCCTGTCGTTTTAACAGAGCATATTCAACGTCGTTATTTGATAAGTCTTTGGAGAATTCTGACGAATCGGGAATTATTACATCTGTTATGCCATATTCTTTGCATCGTTTCAAGAAATCTTTGAAATATATCTGTTTAATGAAGTATTAAGTATTATAAGTTTTTTAAAAAAACATATTATAGTTACAAATCCATTACAAGCATTATAAAATAATTGTTTTATAGATTAAATTAATCTGATTTTTCACACAAACTGTAATATAACAAATATATATAGATGTACTGTACATATATTTTCTATGCATTGTTCATTATTATATAAATCAAAATCATCGTTTATACATCATCTACACACCAGAAAACTAACTCAAACAAAACAACAAGTATATTAAAATGTGTGGCTACAAAGTTATAGATACTTCTGCTAATTGCATTTTGGAGGTCATGTTAGAACTTGACTGCTATGTCAACACTTCCCATACCTCTTTGAGCTCCATATGCATAATATCATATTATGAACATTTGAAGACTAAAAGGAATTGCTTGTCACTAATTTAATATTTTAGTGGTATTTATAAATACAGGAATAAATCCTAAGTAATTTTTGAAGTGGATGTTGGTTGAGGATACTAATCAAACTTATTTCTTGTAAGTGTATGTGGTATGCAAATCATCAATGTAAAGAAGAACATTAGGTACATCCCAGTAAAAATCAATCTCAGCCAAAATTGATGCACCAGTGAACAGTTTAATAAGCTTTCACCGGAAGATCTGGCAACCCTAACAAGATGGCGAAAGCAAACAACACTACATTGGCAATTGTTATTTTGTCAAAATAACTTTAGGGCGACTCAGATGAGTAGTAAAAATGATGTTAATGTAACTGTGGAAATGGCTGTATCCAAGACTTGACACGTGTGATGCACAAGTGGTTACTGCACAGATGACTTCATCAGTGAATATTAGAACACATTTTGTAGTTCACCAATGAACTGTTTGATGTCATACTGGAATGTGCCCATTTTCAAACTAACACAGAAAACTACCCTTTGATTCTGCTGATCAGTATATCTGTTGAAGGGTAAGAGCTGTTGAGCTAATTAAGGGTTTTTCTTTCATTAACCTGATTAAAAAAAAATAACTTAAGTGTTTAAGATTTTGAATAATTGCAATTTGTATTTTTACTAATGACTGATTTTATTGCTGTAATTAGTGAGTTGAAACTGTAACATTTGAGTTTTTGTAATAGTTTTTACAGTCATAATATTTCTAATTTAATAAAATTCAATTTTTCAATGAGCAATTATTTATTGTGACATTGTCACAATGCTGGGCTGCAATTTTTAATCATATTTTTAATTTAAAATATATGCTCTCTACCACAAATTAGTACTGTAGTATCTTTCCCCCATACATAATACTTTTCCTTTAACAATAGAGTCATGCTGGTCATCTATTAACTGCTTTCAGGAAAAAAGTTTTGAATTGAAATAACATGACTTCCAGTTTGCATTGGAAGTTCGTATACAGTTAGTCAGGGCCTCCCACCTGTAAGGTTTTCATATCTGGTCTCGGATTTCATTTGTTTAATTCCATTCTCAAGATTAAGGAAAGACAGACAGATGACAGTGGAAATTTATAGGTCTACAATTTTTGAAATTGCAGCCAAACAAACTCTGGTGAGATGTTTCTGTTTATCTTAAATTTGGACTTTGCTGGTCTAATTAAAAAATATTACAGTCGACCCCCTATAACACTGTTGATAATTCCGTTTTATATGAATTCCATGTTGTACAAGTCACTTAGATTTTACAAATACGTGTGCCGGACTGTAAACGGCTCACATATTTGTAAAATCTAAGTGACTCATACAACATGGAATTCATATAAAAAAAAATTATCAACAGTGTTATGGGGGTCGACTGTACTACTAACTTAATGCTGCTGACTAATTGAATGAGTCTTTCATTAAACAAGCTAATTTATTATAAGTAAAAGCATTTCTGATGATAAATTATAACTAAATTCATCTCTTCGTATATAAACAAACTCTATGGTAATACCACAGTTCGTTTCTTAATCAGATTAAAATTGTTATAGACTATATCTAGTTCCTGGTCACACCTCGTGACTGCCCATAATATCAAATACATAACAAAAGAATGAAATGTTTCAAATTTAAGTTTTACCTTACCTCAGAAATATCCAATATTTCATTACGATTAGCACACATGCATTTTGTGACCACGCTTCCCAAAAGAGCTGGTAATAACAAATATCTAGAAGAAAATTAATCATTAATTGATATAATTTTACACATTTATATTAAGATTTCAAAACATAAATCCATGTATATTATGAATTCTTACTTTTCTGGCCATCACTAAAACTAAAATGGTTCAAATATCAGAAATAAAATTTTTAATAAAAAAGTATTTTTATGCAGAAAGTTTTATCTTGGATCCAGATACGTTTAAAGTTGATTAAAAAAAGTAAGAATAAATAGCTTAGGATTATAGAAGATAATACAAGTACCCTTGCTCAAAATTGGTAAACTGTCTTTGCAAATCAAACATTCTGCAAGAAAGCATTAATCAAAAGCATATTTTCCATTATTTTAAATGGAGAAAAAGTTATACTGCATTATGTTAATCTAAAATATCCAATTAATTTCCAAAAATGTAACTAAAACAAACTACATTGCATACAAGTTATCATATTAAGATATAAAATGATTAAAACAACATATTCTGATTACCAAACTTAATATAGTTGTTAATAAATATTCGCTTCATATGCAGTCTACTTGCTTTACTGAAAATGAGTATCACCAACTTATATGGGCCCACTCGAGAATTTGGGCTTACAGAATAATTTGTGTTTTTGGAATTTAGAACCATTTGTGTAGTAGTAAACTATGACAATATTGTCCAGTCATTTTTTTTTATTGAAATTGGTAAATAAATATCTTCACAGAAAACTGGATACCTATTATTTATTGTATAAAAGGACTAATCAAAAATATCTGGGACAAGTCTTTTTTACAGAGAAACTACTACCAGTTGCAATATGGCAACCATGGAGTATATTTGACTATATTTCTTGAGGCCAAGTGTGAGAGCAGCAGGTAGCAACATGAGTCAATTGTCAATGAGATGAGCTACAGTGCAGATATATGTTTCCCTCTGTTCTATTATGGAATGAATGAGTTGAAAGGGCAACATGTTTGCATCAAGTTTTGACGTAAACTTGGTAAGATTGCTACTGAAATGTACAAAATGTTTCAACAAGCATTTGAAGAAACAGTACTCAGTTGATTCAAAACCTTTCAGTAGTAATTCAATTAATAATGACCCATGCACAGACCATTTGTCAATGGCACAAATCAGCAAGACTGCCAAGTGTCTACTGATCTGTTCTTCAGTGCCTCTGAGATGCAGTTTGCCCTCACAAATGGTTTACTGAAACTAGCTTTGAAACCACGAGAACATGCTGAGCACACAGTCGAGTGTCACCATGTTTTAGGCAAAGTATTCCCACAGTTCCCCACCCACCTTATTCACCAGAATTGACACTCACAACTTCTTCCTCTTTCCCAGATTCAAAATCACCCATATAAGACATTAAGGAGATACAACTGGACATGACAGTTGTGGGCCATTCTTAAACAGACCAATACATGGAAAGTAAAAGAATTACTGGAATCACTGCGTACAGTCTGGAAGGTTGTACTTTGGAGATAACTCCCAATAACTGGTAATTGCTTTGTTTTCCTATAATAAATTCTGTCCCAGATATTTTTAATCAGCCTTCATAAATCTAAATTGCATTATATCTATATAGTCTCTTCTATTATGCATTGTTGATCAGTAAAAATACACCCATCATAGCAATGTTAACTCATTTGCTGACTAGGCATGATTTGCATATCTGATATCACTTAAAATTTCAATATCTCATATGCAAATTATAATAGAATTGATCTAACTTCAATTTTAAATGATACAGTCCCATTTTGAGACCACCCAAGATATTTAAAAGGTTAGAGCCAATGCTGCAAGCATCGGCACCAAATTTACAATATACAGGTAACCCCCGTATAACACGGCACTTCTATAGCACAGATTCGCTCTAACACAGTTCGAGAATTGGTACCATCCCCCGTATAACATGGTACTTTTATAGCATGGATTCACTCCGACATGGTTCGAGAAATAGGTAAAACTCTCGTACAACATGAAATGTAATAAATTTTTACATACTTAAGTACTAATAGTTCACGAAAATTATTATTTTCTTATCACTTAAGAAAATTTTAATAAAGATATTTATCTTAATTATGAAAATATACTAGCATGTTTTTTAATTTTTGGAACCTAACCCTCCTTTTCGTACTAGTTCTTTGTTTCGCATAACACGGCAATTTTTTGGAACGTAACTAACGTGTTATACAGGGGTTACCTGTATTGCAGTAAATAATACAGAGAAAGAGAGATTTGTTTTAAAAAATGCCAACAAAAATTTACAACAAAAAGCGAGAAATAAATCACTACACAATCTTAGTATTGTCTTCTGGGGTTGGTTAATCAAGTGACTATTATCAGTGACATCAGAAAAGTATGTGTAGACTTCCTGCTGAAGGAGATGATGGTATATGACAATATAATGCCTCTTACAGCACGAGCTGTATTCAGGATACATATTCCACTTCTTGACATTCAGAATACCTTTTAAAATATGTAATTGTAACACTGTAACCAATTGTATTTGGTGTATGGATTGGAGTTTATTTATTCTTATTCCTTTATATTTTATTTCATTCTGTTTTAATTTATATTGTATTATAAGCTGATAAATAAAAGAAATTTTTTAAAACAAGTTGTAAAAAATACAAAATATTAGACATACAAATAAAAGTATTCTTGTAGTCTTCCTTATTGTCCTTTTCACAATCACAGGAACATGATCTACATTGGCAATTTCATCCTGGATTTTCAAATGAGAGATTTATGGGCTTTCATTTTAGCAAATAAATCTGTGATGTCACTACCTACACATCAACCTGCCTCCAAAAACACAGCACGTTTAACTTCACATTCTATTATTTCCATTTTGGAAATAGTAAATTCACATAACAATTTAATTATTAAAAGCACATGATTTAAATAATGATGCACAACTGAGTAATTGAGAGTGATTTCTTACAAATTGCTCCACTTCATCATTAGGGAAAATTTTTTAACCTTTGTGAATATTTTTGTAAAATACAATAGAACACGTCTCTGCAGAGATATACAAATATTGGGTTGTTCGGAAAGTAAATCCGTTTTTTCACCACTAGACGGGTTAGTCGTATTTTTCCTGCCATTTTCATTCTAAACCATATTATCATTATATGTTTTGACAGCTAGCATTTTAAGGCTTATTTCTAAAAAATTTTGTTTTATTTTGTGCAATTGTTTATTTTTTGTGTCCCATCAAATATGGAAGATCAAAAGCAGCATTTTCGGCATATTTTGCTCTTTTATCACCGAAAAGGTAAGAATGCTGTTCAAGCTAGAAAAAAATTGTGTGACATTTATGGAGAAGATGTATTGACAGAACAGTAGTGCCAAAACTGGTTTACAAAATTTTGTTCTGGCAATTTCAATATTGAAGATGCACCACGTTCTGGATGGCCAGTTGAAGCCAGTTGAAAATAAAGGTACTGATTGAAGCAAACTGCCGAATAACAACATGTGAAATCACTAAGAGATTAAATTTGTCAAATTGAACTGTATATGATTAATTGAAACAAATTGGTTTTGTTTCAAAGCTCGATATATGGGTTCCACATGTTCTTAAAGAGAGATGTTCTCTTTGGTGGGATTTTAAGGAAATTTTTTTTGGAGCTTTTACCAGACAATTTAACAATTGATTCGAAAGTGTACTGCCATCGAGTAAACAAATTGAGTAATATATTCAAACAGAAAAGGTGACCAGAATTGATCAACAAAACAGGTGTAGTGTTTTATCATGATAATGTCAGAATTGACACAAGTTTGGTAACTCGTCAAAAACTGTTATAACTTAGATGGGATGTGCTATCACACCAACCATATTCGCCAGATCGAGCACACTCGGATTACTACTTGTTCCGGTCTATACAAATTTTTTTTAACTGTAAGACATTTACTTAAAATGACAATGTCAAAAATCTACCAGAAACGATGACAACAGGTATTTGATCAAAATGGTTGATATGTAATTCAATAAAATATTTATTTATTATAAAAATATTGTGTTTTTTTCTACGGAAAAAAACGAAATTACTTTCCGAACAACCCAATAAAATTGTTTTCTTTAAGAGAGAATTTTTTAAAAAGTGATGAAATTTGTTAACACTACCAGGAAAACAAATATTTAATGTTTATAGTCACCAAGTAATAAAATCAAGTGTAGTTTTCTAATCTGTTCAACATTTTCATAAGATAACCCAAGCATCATTGGATGTGTTAGCTATCAAATACTGTAGTTGCTGGTGTAAACACACTCTTTTCCCAAAAAATACTGTCCGAAAGTGGGGTGCATCTTACATACTGGCAAAAATATATAATTTTTGTTTTTCTTAAAACAACTTTGGAAAATGGATGCATCTTATATACTGGCAAATATGGTACGTAATTTGAAACTGAAGCTTCTCATCTTTTAAAATATTTGCTCATTTTTATTGTTATTAGAAGTAGATAATTTTAGCTTTAGGGCTTGTGTGTTTTTGTAAATAAAGTAAAATATTTATTTAAAAAAATTAAACTTATTTTAATAAAGAACTTACTTAATATCAGCTGTAGGAATTTCTTCAATGTCTTCATTTTTGCTAAATATTCCTATTTGATTCACCATGTGTGTAGCTTCTTCTAATAAATTTTTAATTTCTTTTAAGCTATTCTGGAAATAAAATCAATATATATACATATGTATATAATTTTTTTTAATATTGATTTATAAAATAAAGTATGATTAATTGATTATGAAAGATCAACTTTTTTAGTGGAATTAATTCTCTAAAGAACTCAAAATTACCATTGATCTATTCATCTAAATAATGGATCATTTATCAAAAAAATAATTATAATTTTCTACTGATGAATAAATTAATTTATTTAACATTCTTTGGCATTTAAAATAGCAAAAATAAGATTATAACTTGTGAAAGTTTGCATGAGATTTAATGCTCTTCTGAAAGTTCATGAGACAAGCCTTAAATCCTGTGCAAACTTCTGAAGAGTAGATAAACTTTAACTCCCTTTTTTAACAATAAAATGTAAGATACTTTGAGATAAATGCTTATTCTTGAGCAAATTTCAAACTCTTCTTTAAGAAAACTATTACAACAAAGTCGGTTCACATTCTATTAAGCATTTTAATTCTTACAAACAACAGATAACTATTTGCTATTTGTAGGCCTATCAATTATACAGGGTCTTCCAAATTGAATGCCATCATTCTAGATTACTATAATTATGTTAAATATTATCCGAGAAGTATGTGATGTAAATTAATCGATAGAGTAACTGTTTGCACTTTGTTTCCCATCCGCATTCATGTGTCTTATTGTCTATTATCTCTAGCAGGTGCCATCAATGAAAATGGCGACTCTGCAACAGAGAAGGCATTTTGTATTCTGCAGTTTGCAAAGTCGGAACCACTCATCATTGTGCAACATGAAATTTGCAGACATTTTCAAATTGATCCACCATGCAAGACAATATTCTTTGGTGATATCAGCAGTACACAAGTATGTCAGGCTTTTGATTTTATTCTCACTTTCCTCTAACATTCTGGGTCATCCCGGATTTTCCCCTTGCAAATGCATCATTTCTCCTGAAACTCTCAATACACCAAAGAATGTGTCTTATGTAATGAATCACTTAAAATCGTGTGAAATTCATGTTGCACAATGATGAGCAATTCCGACTTTACAAACTGAAGAACACAAAATGCCCTCTGTTGCAGAGTTGCATGTTTGTTTATGGTATTGTGGTGGCATTAGACAAGACGTTTGAATACAGATGGGAGAAGAAACTTGGACAGTCACTCTATCAACTGGCGCATATTGCATAGTTCTTGGAATCCCCAGAGATATCAAATCTTCACCTTTATAAATCTGTGAAATTTTGAACATGATTTTTAAAACTTCAAAGTTTTAATAAAAACATTTTTGCCATAGTAATTTTTCGTTACTGGAAACGAATGAATTTAATCATTATAAATTGATTAAATTACTATATTGAGAATTCTTAAAATTAAATTTGTAAATACAGGCCAGAAATTCTATTTGATCAAATTCAATTTAGAATTTCAAATCTGATTGATTATTAAACACATTTGGGACTTTCTTCAAAATAAAAAGTTAAGTAAGTTATACAAAAGCATTAAAAAGACAAGGAGGCAATAGACACTTTACTTTTGTTACAACGTTACTACAAATTGAGAAAGCCCTTTCACTATTGGTTGAGATAAGTTCAACAGTTTGAGTGCTAAGTTTCTCTATACTTTCAATACGTTTGCATGCCAACACCAACATTTTAATTTCTTCTGCTTTGAAATTTACTTTTACTATTGTTTGAATATTAACTAAAATCTTTGTAATTTTGGCTCATTTTTCCCCGAAACCTAAAAAATACCAGAAATTTTCAAAGTTTCGATTGATATTCCTATTCTCGAATAATAATTAACACAATTACAGTCATTTTAAATGGTAGCATTATTTAAGGAAGACAACGTATAAATATGTTAACAGATTGTTTGTTAATTTTGTATAAAATTTTTTTTATTGCTTTAACCCATATAATCAATATAGTAAATTTATACAAGCAAATACGTTATAATTTTCACCATCCTATTACTTGTTATAAACAAATATAGGAGACCAAACAAGTCAGTTAACAGAGATATTTTATGAAAGGTTAAAACTAGTTTGGAACAGCTTCATGTCATTATTTGTGATTTGTTGAAATAAAACCAAAACAAAATAAATAAATAAAACAAAATGCCAAATCAATGTAGAATTGAGCCCAGGTCTCCTTTGTATTTAAAATTTCTTGTTTAAAAGTACATCGCAACCAACTTTTGTTGTTTCTTCGATGCCGCGACAACTTGCAACCAAACAGAGAACGGTGTGACATTGGAACACACCATGCAACACAATGTGATGCACAGTACGGTGACTTAATTAATATGTATCCGATAATATGTTCATTCTTTCTCTTGCTTCCCCCTCATCTTTAATGGAATCAGACATCTTCACGACAAAAATAAACACAACAACAAATTTACAAGATGTTGAAAATTTGTCACGAAAATTTTGGAGGCAAATATCTTGGCAAGGATCACAATTAAAGGTATAGTTCCTTTGACTTTTTGGTTATCTAGGAGATCTAAAATTTGAAAGACCAAACTCTTCATTCAGAACCAAAATTTTACAAAGTCATGCTAGGGACACACAACTTTTTGACATTTACAGCCATGTAGAAGGTCAAATCTTATACTCTCACCCATCTCTTACGAAACCCAAATGTAACAGACCACTCGAGCTTGTCGGTTTCATCCGGAAAGTAGACCAAAGTAAACTTTGCCAGACCAGTTTGACGAATTCCATGTCGACAACCAAATGCATAGTGCCACTCCAACTAATACAATGCTTACGTGACTTTTCACAGCGGACGACCCCTCCAGGCCCAGTTGCCCAAAAGGAGTCAATTACACCCAGCAACCGTCCATCATAAGTACCGCTTGGCTATCTCGGGAAGAAAATCCAGATGGAGGACTTTTTGGTCGAGCCTGGCGAGCTCATCTATCTTCGGGAGGATTATGCTGGACAGAGCCCGTGCCTCAGGGATCAACACCGTACAATGCGAAGAGCTTTTTAATGCATAGCTTAGTTGTTTTTATAGGAAAATTGTAGGTATGTGGTGACACAATTACACTTCTGAACGAGACAGTTCGTGGTAAAAACTGACCTCTGGAGGCGAATATCTCACGAAAGGTCACGTGTACAGGGGGGGGTCAATAACCCTGAGGATGGAAAATCCCTCATTCGGAGTTCACATCTTAATTTTATAATTAACCGATCGAATAATCAATATTTTTCAATTACTACGCGATGCTTACTTGATATTGCTTCGAACCGGTGGGATCACGACTCGATTCTAGACGAGAAATGGAGGAGAAAGCCTTGTCGAACGCTTCGGACAGACGAATCGATTCTTCTCCGACATCCATTTTGTCGTTCGCGCGACCTCTGCCGGTTAGATTTGTTTTAATTGTTTAAAATCGAAAAATAAAAGCTTCGTAACGAGTTATCGTTACGAAAATATAAAAACGATTCGGTAAAATAATACCGGTGATATTAATATAATATTAATATTCATAATCGAAAAGTGGTCGAGGCGTTGAATCGTCGGTCTGCCGCTCTAGGGGATCCAGGTTCGAATCCGAAAGGGTCAATAACCCCAGAAATATTTCGGGATGGTGCGATCGGATACATCGCACCCGCCGCTTCAACTTGGGCCTGGCCAAGCCCATTATGGACTCGGCCAGGCCAGGAAATTTCGAATTCGATAAATTTATTAATTTTTTAAAAATATTTATATTTGACTTACTCATCGAGTTCAAACAAGTTTGAAAAATCACCATTTTCAATCATTTCAATAAGTGAATTTACTATTTTCTTTAAACTGTAAATATCTTCCATAATCGATTTGAAATTACTTTGATACGTAATTTCAAAGTAATCACTTTTATTCTTCAAATCGTTCAGAAGTAATTCAGATTCGTGTTCTGATGTTAACTCTGAATCTTCTTCCATATTTTCAATATGTTTTAATTCTTGATCCTCGGAAATCTTCTCTTCCAATTCATTTACATGACCATCTCCAACTTGAAATTTTTCCATTGCTTTCGTCTTGTGTTCAGTAATTTCGAGTTCTCTTTCCCAAACTTCGATTTTTCTTTTAATTCTGATATACAAATTATCGGTTTATTCTTTTATTCGAACGTTGCAAAATCTTTATTTGAATGTATTTTATAATTATTTAATTCGATTTATTTGAATTTACATATTTGAGAATTATTGCTATTTTTTGATAACAATAATTAAATTTTGGTAAACAATTTTATTATTATTTAATTAAATAATTAAGTCGAATTCATTGCTGGGCTACATTGTGGTTAGTTGGGCTACCCTGCAGAGGTCATGTTAAAAAACAAATAAGGATACCGGGGAATTTCCTCCCGAAACTTATTGACACAATTCGATCTGTATAAATTCGAAAGTACCTCGTATTTATTCAACCAAGTTATCAATTGCGTACATAAAACTTTAGAAATTGTCGGTAATAACTAAATTACTCTATAATAATCGGGTAGATCTCGGAGCCCCTTCTTAAATAGGAATAATCTTACATATATGCCAATCCATAGAGATCTCCTCCAATTGATATATGGTATGTTTCTTTTATAATATATATGTAATCAAGCCTGGGAAGTACTTGTATATTTCCACTGGTATACCATTGTACCCGGAGTAGTACCGTTTTTCATAGTAACCAAAACCTTATCCACTTCCTCTTCTGTTATCTCCGTATCCATCGCATCATCCTGCCAATTCACACAACAGTTAAACACAGAAATATCCGCTTTGTAGTTGTAATTATTCGAACATTTTTGCCTTATTCAATTGCTTAAGCTACCACAAAGCTGTTAAAATCGTAAATGCCAGAATACCAAATATCTTCCCACATTTTAAAGTGGCGGAAAATCGTAAAACGACCTTTGAACTTCCACTATATAAACACCGTTGTCGCACCCGCTTTAAAATACTTCGTACGCAATTAATTCTTTTGGAATATTCAAGGCGGGACTTTTTACGTTTTCGTAAGGTTGGTTATGGACGATAGAGTCCGTTATTTACAGTGTTCTCTATTTAGAGGTAAATACGTCGGATACTCCGAGCTCCGTCCTTCACCACCCGGCCGTCCCATTGTGGGTTCGATAAAAGGCCTTGCAGGTGCCCACAGGGTAAAAAAAAGTCCGATTAATCTTTCAATATTTGTTTTAATTAAAAAAAATTTTTTTTGTTACAAATATCAATATATTGGATTTGAAAATCTGAGGCTCACCATCAAATAAATGATACTTTTGGAATTTTTCAAAGTATTTTCATTCGCTATTTCTTAATTCGGAAAGTGAAACAAAATCCTAAAGACCAGAAATAACTTAAAAAAATGAAAATTTTTAAAATTACTTTTAAAAATTCTTACCGAATAATAAACGTTTGCGATTTTTTTGTAGTGTTTCATTTCCAAATATGACGTCTCGTTATTAATTTTTAGGACTTGATTTTCGAAAGATATTTTATCCATCTAAATATTTAAATAGTTAAAATTTAAATGCTTTAACAATTCATATTTTTTTTAAATATACAGTCAAACTTCGATTCAGAGCCGCCATGTTTTTTTATGTCTCTGAAACACACTAAATCGAGTGTGGCGCTGAAGCGAAGAAGAAACAGTAAGCGGTATACGCAGTAAAGAGACCTGTACGTAAAATTGAGTCATTTGGTGACAGTAAAATAGTTGCTATAAAAAAAACTACATTTGATAATTCACACATGCTGAAGGTTTCTAATTTTCTGAACACTTTTCGCCCTATATGGGCATTAAGAAGACCTTTTAATCAAGCCAATTATGGCCCAAGTCCACAATGGAGTAGCCTGGGACGAGGCCTGGCATATCCGGAAGGACCATTCCTAAAAATTCCTGGGGTTCTTCAATTTGTTCGGATTTGATCCCGGATCCTCCAGAGTGGTATGCTACCATCTTAGTGGATTCCAAGCATACCCCTCTGGTATTCATAGAAATCCGGCCAAGGTTTTTTAATATTCGAAAATGCTCATTTGCATTATACGAGAATGGCGCTATATCGAGGTTTGACTATTTAGCTTTACATACTTCTTCCTTCAAAGTGGCTAAGCGACTGATTCCGTTGACTTTCTGCTTAAAAATTTCTAGTATTTTTTTAAATAATTCTTTCTCATTTCCTGTTTTTAGATAAATATTTTAATTCGAAGTAAAATACGATTTTTTAATTTTAAAAATAAAAAAAAATCTCACCGCAATTCGTTTCAGTATTTAAAATATTCTGAAATTTCGATTTATAATAGTTTAATTGTTGAATAACTGTTTTGGCCGCATCATCGTCGCCATTTTGTGAATATTCTAAAACTCTTTTCTTAAAATATTTAACAAAAATAACAATTAAAATCGATTCTTAACCAAAAAAATTTATTGAATTTAGTTTCAGAAAAAACATCTAAAAATACAATGGCAGTTACCACACATAGCTGTATCAGTATTATGCAGTAACATAGACTAGTGCATATTAATATCATATTTTATATATCAAATATGAACTACACTGTCCTACCACACTACTGTGTAGATAATAAACGAGGTCCTACGCAAGGTACTCCACAGACCCTTTTATAAATAGATTCATAGGAAAATCATGATTGGAAATGGAAGATGCTTCCAGTCCATTAGCGGCCGAGTGAATACCACTGGCTTGGTTTTGATTTTATTCGTTTAAGGAAACGCGGCATATGGACTATCTGCCGAGGGGGAAATGTTTCCCAGGAGGTTTTTAACGGAAAACTGGCTCCTATTTAGATGTTATTAACATGAAAAAAATCCGGATAACTCCACTTGGCCAGCCTGTTGGCCAGGCGTGAACCCATGACAAGTGTTTGGTGGTTTTATCCACTCGACCACTGGTAGGTGGATACCACCAGTGATTACTGGTAATTGGTCGTGGGGTTCACATCACGCCAATGGCTACGTGAAATTTTCCGAGTTTTATTTACGCCTCTAACACTTAAATAGAGCCTAATTTCCCATGTAAGTCTTTCCGGAAGTCATCTTCCTCTTGGCAGATCGCCCACGTTTAAGGTAACTACATCCTGAAATGTAGAAGTGGAATGTTAGTGCAGGTACTTTGACGTGACGTCGGACGAGTCACGTGATATTGTCTCCGATTGTCGGTTTTCTAGCTTTCTGACGTCATCAAGGACAGATCTGTTACGAACAAGCAACGAACATTTTACTTATTCATATACTGTTGTTTACAAAATAACGACCGATATATAGCCACAGCGACAATGCCTCAAGCAGGTTTAGCTTGGACCCATAGATCAATGTAGAACAGGACTTACTCGTAGAATAAATGAGCTACAATACGTAATCTATTAGTCTTGGTCGTGTTGTAATTCTGGCGTGTTGCAATGATTATAATATAATGCCAACTTTTTAAACTCTCTCGCCATGTGGGCGCTTAAAGGCCTTTTTTGCAAGCCCATTATGGGTTCGGTCAGGCACTCACTACCAGGTGATGAGGAAAGGAGCCCAACCTATCCAGACTGACCACTCCCGAAAAATTCCCGAGACTTTTCGACCCGTCCGGATACACTCTCGGCTCCCCAGAGTGGTAGGTTCACACCTTAACTACTCGGCCATCCGGCAAAATTAGGTTATCATTTATACTGTAAAATTTACCTTAAGAATTATTTTATTATATTAATAATTAAACAATGTAAAATATAAAATTAATTTTTTGAAAATCTGAAAACTAAAAAGGACACCTTTATCTCATCACGAGCTTCTTTCGTTTCTAAGTAACTGGTCCATAAAGCCAAAACAATGTCGCCTCTTAATCGGTTTTTTCCAGCTAAAAACTCTTTTAAAAAATTAAATGAAACTATTTAAAGATAAATAATTTTAATAATTAAAGATTTAGAAATTAATTTGCTTACCAATTTCTTTCTTTAATTCATCGAAGCTCTGTTTAGATCTTTGGTTAGCAAGTTGAAATTTACGTTGTAATTCATAAATTTCTTTATCTTTCTCGTTAATTTCTGCTGCTAAAGATGCTTTAATTAAGAATTTTAAGTTCGTTTAAGATTATTTTCAGTGGTAAATATTGGAAAAAATAGCGATAAACTTGTTTATGTTTAATGAGCAATTGATATAATAGAAACTAAGTTTAAACTGTATATTACTTTTCTGCTGGTAAACGGTACGTAAATCCGATTGGATCTTCGTTTTATTATTTAATAGATGCTTCATTTCTTTCTCTAATGTATTTTTATCCTAATAAATTAAAAATGTTGTCAAATACAGTGTTTGTAATTAAAATTTACAATTGAAAAAGATGAAACTCGGTAATTAATCAGCAAAATGACATTATACTTCACACGGAGACGTCTGTGGTCGTGGAATTTTAATTGAAAAAAAAAAAAAATTAGCCGGAGAACTATCCGCTAGAGCTGTGAATGGCGTAGTGATTAGCGCAAAATGTCTAAACTTACGATACATAAGGCACGCTGTACGGTTATGCATCAGTCCGCTTGTAATGGCTGGACTCCAGAAGTCCGAGTACTGTCGTTAAACGTGGAATATGGTAATTTCGGCCTGCTGTCATCAATGGTTTCCAGCATATCGATCACGCTGTTGCGTAAAAACAAAGAATAGCATGTGTGTCGTTAGTTTTGAGAGATTTTGAGTTATTCACTACGATGTTGCGGCGCCATTTACTGCCCTAGCGGATATTTTCGTAAGTAACGTTTTTTGTTTTTAAAATAAAATTCCATGATAACAGATGTCTCTGTGTGAAATATGACGTCATTCTGCTGATCGGTTCCCGAGTTATATCTTTTTGAATTACGAACATCTTTAACAATTTAAAATTGTATTTAAAATACCATATTTTGAATTTTAAATTTATAGTTTTCGATTGCATCTTTGGAATATTTAACTTGAATTTTTTCTATTATTTCTGCTGGATCTAAATCATTTTCTGTGGTATTTAACGTTTCATTTTTATCCACGGAATTTAAAAATGGACAAAGTTTTTTAATTGCTTTTAGTATCCAATTGTTTGTATTCTCATCCGAAACTGATTTTTTGGAACATCTTTTTTCTTTAAGTACATACTTTTCTTGTTTCCCAGGTAATTTTTTATTCATGGCACCCATTTCCATTTCTTGGTTACCGGAGGACATTTCACATTTTACATTTGTTATGACATTAAAATCATCTTCGTCACTCGAATCTTTTCTGCAATTAGATAAATATGTTAAAACTATTATTTTAATCGCAAAATTATACGGGTGATCGTAAAGTACCGCCATTCAAAGCTGTCCAGAAGTGTATTTAGTGGTCCAAACGCAAACAAATCTAATATGGTGACATCTCAGCGTAAGCGGTAGCAATTTATTTTCTTATAAATTTGGCAATCTTGAAATACAGCATTACACTGCATGTTAGAAGCATTACAGGGATCACATAATGTGAGAAGCCTCTCATGTTTTATACATTCAGAATTGGGACCGCATTCAGCAAAAGTCTGTACAAGATCATGTACAGACTTTTTGCTTATTGTTTGCAACACCAAATATGCCGTATCGGCGAGTTTTGATAAGAANTCCATTTTCTCAAAAAAAAAGCTTTCAAATCGCACCGGTAGATGGTGTCGAAGCGGGATTCGGATCGAAATTAGCGCCTTAAATCGAAAGGGGTCGCGTATGACGAAAGCACCAACGTAATTGGAAAAGATCCAAAGGAAAGAATAATATGCCTTTTTCGTCTCCGAAAGTGGATGAGGCCGGTACGATTTCGCGCAGTTTTGGTGAAAGGAGGAAGAAGGAAGAAGTTCCCGAAAAGATTCCGGAAACGGTCAACGGAGAGTACGGAAGGTATCGATCCGACCCCCACTTCCTCCCGTTGCGCTTCTTCCCCCGTCGCTCCCATCCGGAATTACGGGGGGTGGTGGGGCGCAACGCGCGGGACTGCGGACTCAACACAGGATCCGACGCCGGATACCGTTTTTAGTCAGTGTCCCGACTCCAGCTTTAGATGGCGCCATCTTTTCGATCGAACGGACATGTCGTCGGTCATCGACCCGATGTGAACTGACAAAAGGTACTCATGTTTTCAAAATTATCTATTTTATGAAGTAAAACGGAACTTTTAAACCGAAAAACACTTATATTTTGTATTTAGGGAAGAGGAAAGGACGAATTAAAGAGGAGAATAGTCGTCACCAACATCCATAGAAGTGCACCGTTTTAAATAAATAGAAGTAACCTGTCTCTAACGGACAGTCGACTCTTCTTTCGTTGAAACTGGAAAATTGTATTTATTTCGACCTTAAAACGTTTTTTCGTTAATAAAAAATGGAATAAATCCTGTAATTTCCTATTTTCATTCGTCTCCTCTCTCCTACAGATTACGCGCTATCGATTGTTATAAAGGGAGGTTTTCTTGGACTTTCATTTCTGTCGAATAAGACTCCACGTAACACAGTAGAATCTAACCTGCAAAAACGGCCACCTCCCAACAGCGGACATTTTTCGGAACAAAGTAACCTCTAAACAAGGTGCCGTTTTTTGTGTTTGCGTCACCGGCCGTTGTTTGCAGGTTTGACTGCATTTATGAAATTTTCTTACTCTACTATAAAGTTACTCGCCCGGATGATCTTCCAATTCGATCGTGTCCCGGTAAATCGAATGGTGGTCTCCCCAATGGAGCGTCGAAGCCTTAATGTTGGCGATTAAAAACGAACGTTACGCATTGTTACGCCATTGAGAGCAGACTACATAGAGTAACGGGTACGGCCGGAAAACTGATTTATGTGTAACTTATACGTATATAATAGTATATAAATTAAGTATATTTATGTTTATGTACTGAATAAATGTTTTATTCGGGACCGTTCGTAAATGGCAAAGACGTGGGGCCTTTTAACTTTATTGGGCCTTCTGTATCTGCGTAATCTTAGCGCCAGGCGTGCAGGCACGAGGAGTTATTTAGTTATTCAGTTATTTAACTGGACGATGCGGATTGGTCATAGAGAAGGTCCCGTCGGTTCGATTGAAATTCAATTCGCAGAACTGCCAAATAATAGAACGAGCAATTTATTAAAAATTTTTTCTTACAAATTGCAAATTTTATAGCAACGCCACGTAACAAGATGACAAGGAACAACAGGAAACGGTGACGAGAAAACAATTGATTTGTTTTTTTTTTATTGTAGCGTAAATGCCGCCCACTTTGGTTATTACATTAACACATTCCTTGCCCTACTACTAGTTACTACTAGTTACACTTATTATATGGCACAGCACGGCAATTTTCTCATAAAATGTGAGAAAGCTAACATCTAACTAGAGGCTAGTTTCCCATAAAAAGTCTTCCCCGGAGGCACTTGTGTATAAGGCAAATGCAACACATGGATCGACCAAGGGTTCCTCTTGACAGATCGCTATTTTTTGTGTTGCCTCAAATCATCAATGCAATCGCACTCTCATCGTGTAACGTGCAAACAGCTGCTATGTTCGGTTGTATTATTGATTAATTAATAAATATTTAATCAATAAAACCGAAACTTAAAGTTACATTAATTAATAAAAAAATGAATTCAATTCCAAACGATGATTTCAGAAATTTCCTTGGAGGTATGATTTTTAGTGGCTTTGAATCTCGTTATCTCTCTGAGTAAATCTGTGTTAAGAAATTTGTAAAGAGCACAATCGAGTATAATTTGCAATCCTGTTGGCATATAAACATCCAGTTAAGTTTAATTAATTAATATAGGCCTGTTGGCATTTATGCAACTTAACTTGATGTTTACATCCTTCTTGTTGAGCAAAATCTAGTTTTAAGTGACTCTTTGCATATTTCACGTAACTTTAGGATTTCCACAATTTAAGAAATCTGTTTACTTGAATGGCGATAACTTCCGTTTACAAATCGTTTATTCGTCTAAAAATCGAAGTTTTGTTGCGTAAAAAACAAAATACGTAGAACTTTTATTTCTAATAATGTTTTCCATTTAAATTTGTGGCTAAGGCATAAAAACGATGACTAAACACTACTACTTTCCAATAAGTATGCACACAAATGATTTGAACAAAAAACGGATTGTCGTGGATATAAAAGGGAAACAAAAAGAAAGTGAAATCACTGGACACTAGTCGAACGGAATACAGGGAATAAAACACGTAATTAGGTCACAAAATGTCACCACATATTATCTTCACAGAAATAAGTGATTTTGTCACATACTAATTATTTTTAAAAATAATTGAAGCCGAACTTTTCCCACATTAACATTCGAACTTCCTTGGTAATTTATTTAGGGGGCCTATTAACAAGGGGCCTGGTGCCTGAAGGATCGGCAGACACTTTCGGCAGACCCTCGAAACAGAGTCTCGTAACTGGTGACTGAGGCATACCACTGGATTCCTGGTTCCTGGAAGATTGCTTCCTTACATCCTTTTATTAATAATACTGTAATAATAAGTTACGGAATAACATTACGGGTTTCTGGCAAAACTTATTTCGATGAAGCTTTTCGTGCCCGTCGTGGATCCGGAGGGTCCGCAACGATGTAGGAATGACGAGGAACGGGCCTCACGTATCACGTGAACTGTCGTCGAGTATGCAGAACATCTTGGGGAAGCGCTCCTACAGATTAGCGTGAGGCCTCGCTCTTTGAGGGACCCATGCTTAGTTAATGTTCGGCTCTCGGCGTCTGGAAAATGTCCCGTATTTATATTTTACACACTTCGAAATACGAATAATAAAAGTATGTTACAGATGTTATAGCTTCGTGGGGTCCAGACAAATTTGAATTAGGGGCCCGTGTACAGTACAGTGTTGACTTCAGACATTTTACTTCGAAGAAATTTTTGGGAAAATCTTTTCTTATAAAAGATTAATTTAGACACCCTGTTAATGGGACCCCAGGCAATTGCTTTTTTTCCATAGGATAACACGCCACTGGTTACAGGGCATTTGTTTACTGTTCGATACCTCTACTTGCTGTAAAACGGAACATTAAATCCTCCATTTTGGTAGGGCACGAGCCCATTTTCCTGACAATTTCGTGCTCTTAGGCAAGCTGCCCTCATCCACTATTTAAAACGATTCGGTTAATGAGTTTTAGCTCATTAAACAGAAATATAGAGTGGAATCTTTTCTGCGAAAAGTTGAAAAATATTATAAGTTGCCTCGTAGGAGGGAAAGAATCGAAAACAAACGGTACAGTACGTGACCCCCACGAAGTGGGTACACGCCGTTTTTCGATGCCGAATATTCACTTTTCCTTTGGTAGCGAAGAAATTTCTCACCCGACCTCACCTTTTACCCTGGCACGCGCGTAAAATTCCAATTTAAAAGTGCGTAACAGAAGTGTGAACATAACACGCAACCTTTAAGGGGGAAGGACACCGAACGGTGAGTAATAACGGGATTCCAATTTATTTACTCGAAAAAAACGAACTATGATCCCGCTGCGTGACATAACACTGTGACGATTTTCTCGGAACACGTTTTAATGTTAGGAAATACGCGATTTCGTAACAATCAAACTCGTCCACAATGCGGTGGCCGCGCTTTCATCGAATTTCATTATCTGTTTCTGTGGGATGACCGAGAGAAATGATTGATTCGGATTGGAAATTCACAGAAATTTTGTAAAATTGAAAATACAGTATTCCCATTCTCTTTCCTCCTCCAGAGTCAGGTAGGGGGGAAAAGTAGGTGCAGTATATCATAGGAATATGAACATTCTACCGTGGTCTCGCCCTAACACGTAAGATCTGAAGAAAACATAGAGTAACAAAGGAATTAAAGGGAAGATGCGTTATGGGCATACAAATGGCAAATGAAAGCCTTCTAAAATTGCCACGAAGGCAAAATGTCAGTGGAAAAGAAGAAGAGAAGGACAAGAACACGGCATTTTAGTATTAAAATAGATAAAAGGAGGGGGAAGAATGGAAAGAACTTCAGGGGATCGAAAGGGTTGTCACACACACAACACAGAGACTTTATCTCAATGTTCTACCAATAGCGGATCCAGAAATCGGGAAAAGGGTGCAAAAAAGGAAAACAATATGCCTTAAAAGTATACTTTACTCGGAACGGTGTGCGGAGTGTATCGGTAACACCCTCTAGAGGGTGTTNTTGGTTTTTGTTGTGGCACGTTATTCAGAGCGAAATAATTGTCGAATATGGACCTTCCCACCAACAAATACCTCTGCAACGAATACCGCCAGTAGGCCCCACGGTCTGGTAGTTACTGCTAGCAGACCGTGGGGCCTACTGGTCTGGTAGCAGTAACTACCAGAGAACTACTCTGTAACATTCGTTACACAGTAGTTCTATTAATTTTGAATGTCGCTTAATATAAAAACAACAATGATTAACAATGAGGCCCTTCAGGTAGGCCCCATGTCCAATCTATTGCTAAATATAGCAAGATATTAATTGGAATTCTACAGCGTCGATATTCCGTATAATCGAGGTTCTACTGTACTAAAATACCGATCATTTGCATAAAAATAGTGAACGAATGGCGTAAAGAAGTCCAATTCGCTTCCACCGTAAGGACCCAGTTCGATTCTTGTTGATACCATAGAATACAGTAACGGATTTAGAGGGTGTGCGGAGTGTATCGGTAACACCCTCTAGAGGGTGTTACCGATACACTCCGCACACCCTCTAAATCCGTTACTGTATTCTATGGTATCAACAAGAATCGAACTGGGTCCTTACGGTGGAAGCGAATTGGACTTCTTTACGCCATTCGTTCACTATTTTTATGCAAATGATCGGTATTTTAGTACAGTAGAACCTCGATTATACGGAATATCGACGCTGTAGAATTCCAATTAATATCTTGCTATATTTAGCAATAGATTGGACATGGGGCCTACCTGAAGGGCCTCATTGTTAATCATTGTTGTTTTTATATTAAGCGACATTCAAAATTAATAGAACTACTGTGTAACGAATGTTACAGAGTAGTTCTCTGGTAGTTACTGCTACCAGACCAGTAGGCCCCACGGTCTGGTAGCAGTAACTACCAGACCGTGGGGCCTACTGGCGGTATTCGTTGCAGAGGTATTTGTTGGTGGGAAGGTCCATATTCGACAATTATTTCGCTCTGAATAACGTGCCACAACAAAAACCAATTTCCACAATGTTTTACTTTGTGAAAGATAATCGAAAGATACCATTCGCACTTCTATGCCTCTCCGCTAGATGGCGGCTATGCGCGAATTAAATGGAGTGTTGCCAGACAAATAGAAAAATGCCATAATTGGAATGATTGACAGACATAAAAGAAGGAAACATTAATGCAATAAACTAATCCAAAGCGACGTAAGATAATTTAATACAAAATACTAAAATTTCGAAATTTAGAAATTATTATCGAAAAAATCGTAGCAGGCCTTATGGCCGAGGCGGTTAAGACATCTTCCTGCCGTTCTGGGGTTCCGGAAATGAATCCGAGTGGGTCGAAAAACCACAGGAATTTTCTGTGGGTGGTCCCCCAAACTTCGACCCAGTATATAGGACCCAGTATGCGATTCGGTATGTCGGGCCCAGTAGCCACCCGATTGTCTTATGTTTGGGTTTATAAAAGGCTTTCTTAATGCCCACAGTGTTATATGAAAAGTCGTAAAACTAGTAACAGCAAAGGGTAAATGCAAATGTATAGAAATTTTCGTTCAAAACAAAATTCTGAAGATACGACTAAAGACAGTCAATAGAGTATGGGAAGCAGCCATACAAGTCTCTGAATGCCTTTCTCTATTTTCCGTATAAATTTAAATCTTTTGCCATGTTCTTCCGGACATTTTTCACGTTGCCCGCTGGGAACGTTTAAAGAGCCATTCATTCTTTCTTCAGTTCTTGGAGTGTCTCAGGAAAATTTGTCAAAGATTCACTTTCATAATGTTTTTAAAGCTAATTTTCATAAAGGACTTCGAGGAAGACATATCAGATCCACGTGCAATTCATTTTCACAGATATTCTCTAATCGTGTAAGGACTTCGTGATTACTCCGTACACACCCATTTAGATCTGTTAGTTTCCGTAGAGTCTTCATTCATTTTTCTTTTATTTATTCTTTCCATCCCGTGGGCACTAAAGAGCTTTTTAATTATGCCCTACCGTGGGTTTTGCCAGATCTATAACTGGGGCGGCCTGATGGTGAGTGCCCAATCCCTCGCCACCTGGCTGACCACGAAAAATCCCCACATTATAAAATCCCTTTTATTATAAGATGAAGACTGGCCGAATTCCGGTCAGTCTTCATCTTAGAATAAAAGCAGACGTTTTGAAATTACAGAATAATATAGGGGAACCAATTAGCCTACGACACCAACAAAGCGGTAATCGAAGAAATTAACGCTCGAGAGGAACGGGTACTAATGCATTAGAAACATCCCTAAAAAAATATTGATTGCAAGTGAAAACTTTAAGAAATGAGAAAATTCGCCGTCTTTATCTACGTGTTTAAAAACATAAATGTCACACGTTTGTTGTAGAGTTTAATAAGCATGTTTCTTAATTGTTATTGGTCAATTCGGACTAAAGAACGAAAAATTCACTTATAAAAAGTTATAAAAACTCTGAAATCGCGATCCGATTAACAAAGTCGAAATGATCCGAATACACCGACAAAAATTGCCAATTCGGTTAACTGCTGTACTCTTTTTCTCTTAAACGGAGGAAGAAGGAGAAGGGGAAAGGAAAGAAAGAGGAGAAGGAGAAAAGGAAGAGAAAAAAAGGAGAAGCAAGTGGAGAAAAAGGTGCAGAAGAAGGAGAAAGGAAGAAGTAGAAAAATAAGAAGAGAGAAAGGAGAATAGGCAGAAGGAAGGAGAATAAGGGGAAGGGAAAGAAGATGACCGTTGTTGCTGTCAGAACGGCGATATCGGTCGATTAACTACAGACAAATTAAGGATGAAGTTTCGTGACGTCGTAGGAGAACGACCGCGGTCCGACTCCCGACATTCTGTTTGGTACGAACTATCCCAACTCACTGGGGTCCTAGCTATTCGGATAATAAACCGACATTTCTGGTCCGTTTGGCGGCGTTTCCACTTCCGATCCGAAAACGCTTTCTCCGATTCGGGCGAGAGATGGCGCCGCCGCGACCGCCGGAAACCCGCCGACTTCCGGCAAGGTCGAGTTCGAAAGGGAAAAAGCGACTTTCGCCGAAGACCTCTCCCCCTCCGGTCGAGGTCGTCCTCGGAGTGAGGAAAATGCCGCGCGCGGACGAGAATAGGCCGCCGGCGGTCCGGGAAATTCCCATCATCGCCTGACGTCACACCGAAGAACCGACACTACAAATACCCGAGAGGAAGGATCGGCGGACACATCGGCTGTCGCTCGCCATGATTCTCTGGATCCTTCTCCCTTTCCTCCTGACGCTGGGCGATGCCGCATCAAGGCAACGCAGACAGAGTAAGCGACGCGACATATCGCGCACGAGTCTCTCTCCTCTCGGATTAAAACACTCTTTTTCTCTCTTTCAGTCTCCTTCCCCGACGAAGACAACTGTCGAACTCCAGACAGGAGACCGGGTCGATGCGTGGTGTTGACTGATTGTCCCGAATTGGCCCGTATACGAGACCTCAATTTTCTCCGAAGATCCATCTGTGGTTACGAGGGAAACATACCTCGCGTGTGTTGTCCGGGCGGGGATCGGATCGCCCCGATCGACAACCGTCCGACTCCCCGACCCACCTTNCATAATGTTTTTAAAGCTAATTTTCATAAAGGACTTCGAGGAAGACATATCAGATCCACGTGCAATTCATTTTCACAGATATTCTCTAATCGTGTAAGGACTTCGTGATTACTCCGTACACACCCATTTAGATCTGTTAGTTTCCGTAGAGTCTTCATTCATTTTTCTTTTATTTATTCTTTCCATCCCGTGGGCACTAAAGAGCTTTTTAATTATGCCCTACCGTGGGTTTTGCCAGATCTATAACTGGGGCGGCCTGATGGTGAGTGCCCAATCCCTCGCCACCTGGCTGACCACGAAAAATCCCCACATTATAAAATCCCTTTTATTATAAGATGAAGACTGGCCGAATTCCGGTCAGTCTTCATCTTATAATAAAAGCAGACATTTTGAAATATCGGTTTAAATCACAGAATAATATAGGGGAACCAATTAGCCTACGACACCAACAAAGCGGTAATCGAAGAAATTAACGCTCGAGAGGAACGGGTCGTAATGCATTAGAAATATCCCTAAAAAGGTATTGATTGCAAGTGAAAACTTTAAGAAATGAGAAAATTCGCCGTCTTTATCTACGTGTTTAAAAACATAAATGTCACACGTTTGTTGTAGAGTTTAATAAGCATGTTTCTTAATTGTTATTGGTCAATTCGGACTAAAGAACGAAAAATTCACTTATAAAAAGTTATAAAAACTCTGAAATCGCGATCCGATTAACAAAGTCAAGATGATCCGAATACACCGACAAAAATTGCCAATTCGGTTAACTGCTGTACTCTTTTTCTCTTAAACGGAGGAAGAAGGAGAAGGGGAAAGGAAAGAAAGAGGAGAAGGAGAAAAGGAAGAGAAAAAAAGGAGAAGCAAGTGGAGAAAAAGGTGCAGAAGAAGAAGAAAAAAAGAATAAGAAGAGAGAAAGGAGAATAGGCAGAAGGAAGGAGAATAAGGGGAAGGGAAAGAAGATGACCGTTGTTGCTGTCAGAACGGCGATATCGGTCGATTAACTACAGACAAATTAAGGATGAAGTTTCGTGACGTCGTAGGAGAACGACCGCGGTCCGACTCCCGACATTCTGTTTGGTACGAACTATCCCAACTCACTGGGGTCCTAGCTATTCGGATAATAAACCGACATTTCTGGTCCGTTTGGCGGCGTTTCCACTTCCGATCCGAAAACGCTTTCTCCGATTCGGGCGAGAGATGGCGCCGCCGCGACCGCCGGAAACCCGCCGACTTCCGGCAAGGTCGAGTTCGAAAGGGAAAAAGCGACTTTCGCCGAAGACCTCTCCCCCTCCGGTCGAGGTCGTCCTCGGAGTGAGGAAAATGCCGCGCGCGGACGAGAATAGGCCGCCGGCGGTCCGGGAAATTCCCATCATCGCCTGACGTCACACCGAAGAACCGACACTACAAATACCCGAGAGGAAGGATCGGCGGACACATCGGCTGTCGCTCGCCATGATTCTCTGGATCCTTCTCCCTTTCCTCCTGACGCTGGGCGATGCCGCATCAAGGCAACGCAGACAGAGTAAGCGACGCGACATATCGCGCACGAGTCTCCTCTCGGATTAAAACACTCTTTTTCTCTCTTTCAGTCTCCTTCCCCGACGAAGACAACTGTCGAACTCCAGACAGGAGACCGGGTCGATGCGTGGTGTTGACTGATTGTCCCGAATTGGCCCGTATACGAGACCTCAATTTTCTCCGAAGATCCATCTGTGGTTACGAGGGAAACATACCTCGCGTGTGTTGTCCGGGCGGGGATCGGATCGCCCCGATCGACAACCGTCCGACTCCCCGACCCACCTTCAGACCCAACACCCCCAGACCCACTCCTAGGCCCACTCCCCGGCCGGTTCCAACGCCCGGAATCAGAACCATTCTACCCTCCATTCTACCCGAGGGTGAGTATTCTCCTCTTATTCTCGCGTGCGATTACCCGCGAGCCGCGACGAAATCGCAACGTCATTCGGACGTAAAGGCGTGACGACGTAGCCTGGAGGCGATCGAGCGTGTCGAGCATCGGCACTTTTATTGTTTACGCGCGATCTAAAGTGCGTTTGCGCATTACAGCTCGAGTGCGTGTATGAGAAACTTTACCAATTTCTCGCACTCGCTCCTCGACGAAGCGAGTGCGAACATCGCGAGCGGCGGATGGAAGCGATTTAGAATGAGACGGAAGTTCTTACCGATCCACTTTTCTTATTTCGAAAGCCACGTTATTTCGAGATTTTAATAAAATAATGCAGAAGTTTTCTTGGTCAACAAACGGGAGGAGGAGGGAAAAAGCGACTTCCGGGAAGAAGAAGCGATTCGGCGCGCCGGCGGAAAGGGAAACGTCTCTTTCCACTTAAATTCTGTCGATCGAAAAAAAAAGAAAACAAAAATATTCTCTCTTCATGGATTCGAACCCTTTCCGACGACGTCGAGAGGAAGAGAGACGAAATTTGGAAATAGGAGAAACGACAAAGTTATAATTCCGTCGCTTTCCGAGGTCGTCAACGTTTCCGTCGGCGCGACGCGTCACTTCCGCGACAGCGCGCTATCTCTTTAGGAAAAGGAAAAAGTCGTCTGCGCTCGATTTCTTAAAAATCTCCATTTTTACAAACACAGAATTACTTTTTCCCAACTAACTTTTAAACGTCTCGAGCCCCTAGCCACATTAACGGTCTTTTGGATCGCGCGATGCGTCCTCACGGGTCGCGAGTTCTCGCATTTCCAAGGCTTAGCGAGTGTGCGACCCGTTCATTCCCAAGGGACCCTGCGCCTTAGAGGAACTTATAGGGACCCTGCATTTATATTTAATACTAAATTTCACAAAATACGAAACCAGTTTCGCCACCCACTCACGAAGATTTGTAACCCTACTCGGGATTTTCCAGGTGTCAGGCTAACACCTTTTAAGTACAATTAAATCCCCCGGAAATACGTCACAGAAAGAAGCGATATGTTCCGGAAGTGGATTACTTAAACTGCGTAACGTTCGGTGGACAATTTCACGGAAAATCGAGGTCGTTCGATCAGAAAATACGTGCTTATAAGGCTATTTACAATGCGTTTTATGGAATAAGTCAATAACTCTCTGTACCATTCGGTCATCGACTATTGTAGACTGAAATATAGATGACGTATTGGGAGGGCCCCTATAGAAGAGTCTATAGAAAATCTAAGGAGACTCTTCTATAGAGAATCTCTATAGAAAGTCCCTTAACTAATACTCGTGTTTCTCTTCTACGAAAACAAAACAGTACTTACAATTTCGGTTTTTTACTCGTTTTTTTTTATCGTTTGAAATTCGTTTTTGGGGGAATCCCGGGGAATTTCCCCTAAAATTAGTACAAAGACGACGGCTTTTTGAATAGGCAGGATGTGTGCAATACTCGAAACGAAACCTTTTCATTAATTTTCTAAGCCCAAAATCCTTCGTCCTTTCATCGTCACCCAGTATTATGAATACTGAACGACCTCACTCGCTGCTTTTGTTACGTAAGATTTAGTGAGATCCCTAACGCAGTTTTGAGGTCTCCAGCTCAATTTCTTAGCCGGGTGGCTTCTCAGTAGGAAGATGATGCCCCTAAATATCTAAGCTTGTATAAACTATTTGGGCTGAAATTTTCAAATTGCAGTCCTATACATTCCCAGTGTCGTTCGTCCGTCCTTCGTTAATCTCGAAAACAAAGTTAGATGGACGAAAATCCAGACCAAACATGGAAAGCTTAAACAACCATATACGAACTTTCTGTTTGGACCGGAAAACACGCGATGTTTTTAAATTAAAAGAAGATTTAAAATTGCACACCTGCATTGTGACGATGCCACAATAAATAATTGTTAATTTTTTTCACATTTTCTGTGAAAAATCTCTCATTGCATTCGTCCATCTGTTGAAATCCTCGAGATATTGCGTACATCTCAAATCTGCATTCACGTGTAGGCGTGTATTCGCCTACTTTGTATTTAACTGTACTTTTCAATAGAATTTGGAAGGTTTCTTCAAAAATTTCGTCGAAATCCTTTAGCAATCCTCTTCGAGTTCTCATTTCATTCCACAATTCAGCAATTCGTGAAATCTGCGTATGAAATCTACGTTTGTGGGCAATCGATAGACAATTCTTTCTTCAAATTCTTCCATTTTGTTTCCTATTTCAGCATCCCATCCTTCTATAATATAGTTTTTCCTCTTTGTAAAGCTCTAAGAAGGCTTTTTTTTGTATAACCCGCACGAAGAATTAATATCTGGTTTGTTGCTCACATCAAGTATTGTGTTTATATCAGAACCTTTCAAAATTCATGTTTTAGAAACCAGTTTTTATTCTTTTTTAACAACTATCAAGTACTAAACATTCACATTTCAAGGTCTGTAAAGACACGTTATACTTATTTTAGGTATATTATTTTATCACGGTTATTCGGCAATCGTCTGACCTCTGACATTGATCGTAGGACGTCGACCTGTACTTTGTCGAATGTATCTAAGAATTAATTTTGTAGAACTACAAATGTATAAAGAGGTGAAGTGTGATCTTTTCATCTTTTCTGATTCCAAATCGTTAATTCTGGTTGTATTAGTCCGTGAACGATTTCGAATCTGAGAAGAATCACACAAGAAACAGGCCGTACGTACCTACTGCACCTTCGATGGTCGAGGTGAAGGGTTACAGAACGACAGTCGTGCTCATTATTGGCAAAAAGTGACCGTAGACAGCAGGGGAGACGAATTTTCACGTAAACTTCACAAGCAGCAGATTAGGGTTTTGCGTTATAAGCTGTATAACATGTAACTAGCCCTTCTCCTCATCAAACAATGATACTTGGGACGAAAAGTGCTGCTGTATGTTATACAGTGTCACGTTACTCAATTATCGAGAGACTAGGCATTTTGGAAGCCCCACCTGTTTATGCAGTTGTCCTTCTCTTCCAAGTCACGCTTACATTACCGACACTTTTAAGCCTGGTGTTTAAAAAGCGTAAACAAGGGTCTCGTGTGTTTGTGTTAATTTCTTAACGCGTACTTAAAGTTATATTATAGATTTAAAGCGTTTTTAGCGCGTTATTTAGCTTAAAACTTAGTTTTAAGGCGAGTGGAGGATGGAAGAGGAAGCGAAAGTATAATCTGAGGTCCTTTATCTTTTCAGACTGCGGTCGCAGCGATAAAACCGGAAGCAGGATCATCGGCGGCCGGAAATCGGAATTGGGTGCATGGCCTTGGCTGGTGAGTCTCGTGTTTCGTTTATTTATTTAATTTCGAATACTTCGATAGTAAATAGGGAAAATTTGCATTGTTTACTTGCCGATCTCCACACAAATTTGCAGTTAACGCGGCAGAAAAAAGTGCTGACGGACAGGGAACCACCATAACACTAGTCGCGGGTTCGCGCCTGAGCAACCGGCTGACCGCGTGTATTTTTGCAGTTTTACTCACGTGTCTAAATCCTAAATAGAGTCATTTCTCCATAGAAGGCTCTCCTGGAAGATACCCGCTTTGACAGATTGCCTACGCGTTGCGTTGCCTTCATCAATTCATCCGCCCAATTTATCTTTTTCTGTAGCAGCAGCCTTCGACGGGTGTTTTCTGCCGTATTTCGTGTGGATGATTCGAAATTAGAATTGTAATTGGTAGGAAAATGTGGGTCCGTCCATGGCTTACGGGCTTGTTACAAATATTTGCTGATTCTGATTATTGATAAAGTATTACAAAGTAACTGTCTCTGCTCTTGTATAGAGTTAACCTTACGAAAGTATGTAACTTTCACACCCCGTTATACGAATCTAACGAGTTCGTAAGTATCGAGAGGTGTTGCCCTTTACTTCCTGTACGAGAATTCCTAACTCACGACACTAAAATATCGCAGAAAACTTCTTACGTATCAATCGACGATTCCCTGTTGTTATGTTTTATATCTTCAGAAGATTTTGCATGCCACCCCTGACCTATAGAAACAAGTGATGATACGGAAGCTGTGTTTCCATAAACTTTTAAACAAACACTGGAAATGACAAAAATAAACAGTTTACTTATTTTCAGTCTAAAATAGACAAATGACACGAAACAATGTTTCCTCTGACTGAGTGTTCCTTGCAAATGTACGAATTCGCTTTACGGTTGAAAAACTGCGCTCAACAGATGCACTGGTAGATGGTACCATAAACATTAATGACATTAAATCATAAAATTCTTTTAGTACATCATTGTTCGGATTGTCATTAATTAATTATAATATGTTTTATGTCTGTTTTATGACTTGCCAATATAGTCTGGACATGAATGTAGATATTGCGATTCACTACGTAATTCAGATAAATCAAACAATTCTCGATAAAATTGACTTAATTTAAAGAATTAAAACACGCTTCTGAAAATTATTTTTCACAATATTTAAAATTCGAAAGATTTTATGTCTGAAAATCTGAAAAATACAATAGCAATCTTATTATTGTTTCTCACATGTATATAAATTTGTAATAAAATATATAATGCGGTTATAATAAAATATTAATTTTAAGTAATTCAAAGCACGTTAAAATATGAAAATAATCGCATAAAATATAGGCTATATTAGAAAATTCAAGGAAAGCGGGCTTCCACAGATTCGATAGACGACACGTCACTGGTACAAACCTAGTTGTGGGTGCGTGTTTTCTCATAACGAACTTTCAGGTGCCATAGGATGCAGAAACAAGAAATTACATGGGAATAAGTCTCGTGAATACAGGATTGCTGTACAATATTTGCAGTGTATAGCCCTCATTACGATAGGAACCGATCAGCACTTATGGGTGCTGGTCACAAGACACCAGAAAAGATGCAATAGACCATTGGTTGGCTTCGATCAGATGGTCCGAATGGACCATGTGATCCAAGCCATGCCTTTCACGTGTGAATTTTTGGGAAAATTCACACGTGAAAAGCACGCCTTCGGTAGATTGCTCTTGTGTCGTATTACCTTATCCCACGGTTGCGATCATGCGCAGCGCTGTTTTTACTTCTAGCCAAACGAAGCACTTGTCTTGCTGGTTTGAAGTCAACTATAAAAGATTCCACTAAGATTTGTTCTTCTCTTTTAGGCGGCCGTGTATTTGACCAGGAGCGGCCTGACCAGAGGAACCGATTGCGGGGGCGCTCTAGTGTCCATTCGACACGTCATAACTGCCTCACACTGCGTGATAGACAGTAGAGGAAATGTGTAAGTATGGAATTTTTCTTGTACTTCTTTTATTACTTTGCAAATAACCTATTTTGCATACGCAGAATGAATCCGTCCAGCCTGACTGTTCGGTTGGGCGAGCACAAGTTGAACGACGACTCAGACGGAGCCAACCCGGTCGACTTTCGAGTACGAGATATCAGGAGTCACCCCGATTTTGTTCGAAGAACGTTCAAGAACGACATCGCCATTTTGGTTCTAGAAGGAACGGTCCGATTCGGCGAATTCATTAGACCCATTTGTCTTCCCTACGATCAGCTGAGGAACGAAGATCCTACGGGAAGGAACGCCTTCGTGGCAGGATGGGGAACTACGGCTTTCAGTCAGTGCGATTTCACTTCTTTTTTTCATGTATTTAATTCGTACATTTTTTCTTAATCTTCGCGTTTTATAGACGGAAACTTCAATCCCGAATTGACGGAGATCCAGATTCCAATTTGGACTAACAACGAGTGTCGCCAAGTTTTTCAACGAGAGGTGCCCATCAGCGGAGAGTACATCTGCGCGGGTGTTCGCGATGGCAGCAAGGATTCTTGTCAGGTGAGAAGAATTCGGCCTTTTCATTCTGTCGGACGGTCGCGTGCTAAAGTTCTAGCTTACTGCCCTGAAGGATCCGAGTTCGAATTCCACTTAGACTACATAAAACCGGATGAACACATGCGGCGCGGCAAGGAAAAGAGGCAGGATGACGACACTTTTTCTCGCCGCAGAAGTCGATTTTGTGCCGCTTTTCTCTTGCCGCAGAAGTTGATTGAATTTTATCTTTTGCGGCAACCGCAGCCAAGACGCGTTTCTATCAGCCAATAACAGTTCGTCTGTTAGTCACGTGGGAAAATACAATCACGTGGTGTTTTAATGGCAGAAAGTTCGACGGGGTTAACCGAGATAACTAACATCAGAATAAAGAGGAAAGATAATAAATTTAACACAAATTCTACACAAATAATCATATATAATTTAATTCAAAGAACAAAACAACCGAATTTTACTTGAAATAGTATTCTTTATCGAGGAATAAGCGTGTTTTGTACACCAGTTCTTTCTCGATCCAAGAAAATATCTCTAATCCAAAATCTTCGTTCGAATCGTGTAACTAAATAAAGCAAGCCATACAAAACAAACTTTGTAAACACGTGGATAACGACAATATCAGTATCGTTCGCCATCTTGAATACTGAACGCATGCGCCGAAATGTAAGCAGATTGCCGCTTGTGTGGCTGTGCTGCCGCGCGGCAAAGATGCGTTTGCGACACCGCTTTTCCTTGCAGCGCCGCATGTGTGCATCCGGCTTAATTCATCGTGGATGGTAAAGAGCGAAGGGTCGTCTTCTGTTCGGCTGCTCATTTAGGAACAAGACCCATAAAATAAGCGTAATGTCCAGCCATTAGGACCGGTAAACATTAGAACCAAAATGGTGGAAATTGTCGTCTTAATCTTGCCTAATTGGACAATCAAACAATCGAATTATTCGCAGAATATTTTCCAGAAACTAAAAACGATAATGTTTTTGTTTTTCTGTAGGGAGATTCGGGAGGACCTCTGATGCTTCCGGCCGAAAGATCGACTACGGATTTATCACGATATTATATAATCGGGGTGGTGTCGTTTGGCAAGAGATGCGCCACTCCCGGTTATCCGGGAGTATACACACGAGTCACCGAATACCTGGACTGGATCGCCGACAACTTGGTTTAGAACACTGCCTTCTCTGTTATTTATTTTTTCCTTGTATCGTTTTATTTTAAAAATAAAATCGACTATTTCACGCGAAGGTGTCATCTTCAAATTCACATTCTTTAAGATTCCGCCAAATTACTCTCAAAATTATTTGGGGTACGCAGAAGTGTTTCATGTGTAACAGATAATAAACGTTTCTATTATGAAGTAAACAGAAGTTATCCTCATCAGCCGAATAAGAAGTAGCCACAGTTACGTCACGTCATCGTCTTTTTTAACACTTTCGGCCTTGTTGGCACTGAGAGTGCCTTTTGGTAGCAAACCCATTATGGGTTAATCCAGGCCTAAAATGGGGACTGTTGAGTTGTAAGGGTGAATGAGACCCGACTTACCTTGACGACCACACCTGTGATTTGAAGAATTTCTGAGGTTTTTCGACTTGTCAACATGTCTCTGGCAGGTGTTGACAACCGGCAGTCTTTGGACACGTGTTTAATAATTGTTTCGATTAAACCCTATCATTACTGACCGTATTATTTAATGTTGCTTCCTAAGTAAAATCCACAGTGCACCTGATATAATTTTAGCGGCAACAATCATTTTAAAAGATAGTGAGTGACGTATGTGTCTAATTTTGTATTAGCAATCGTGTCGACACTTTCTATTCACGCTTCAACAATTTAAAATTAAGTTAAAGTTACACAGTGTCTCAACGGGGAGAAACAATGTGATTCTTTTGGCAATAATATCCAAATGTAACAGTACGCAGGGAGGAGCTGCATCACCTTCTGAGAGGTTCCACGAGAAAAAAGCAATATGGCTTCTTCGAAAAAAACAGCGAGTACATTTTAAAAGAAAAATGAACTGATTCAGCAATTAATTATCGAGAAATCAGATATAAAATGTAGTTTTATGATTTGTAAAATTATAAAATCAGAATTCTGTTTGTTAGCAAATTATAATGACGTATTTTATCTCGAATACAAACGGAAGTCGTCACACCTCAGCGAGAGCGAAACCACACAAATCGCTTGTCTCTATTTCCGCTCGCTGGCTTGTGCTCTTGTAGCATGTGCTAAATATTTTCTCATAAATTTTATGTTTAAAAGACGAGTAAATGAAATGCTTCGTTACAAAAATCTTTCGAACAGATAAACGACATAATTTGTTTGGTTGGCTTCGAAGAGATGTGGCAATGCAACACGCGGGCGATCTGCCAAAAGGATGCACCTATTCAGGTGTTACACATGTGCAGAAAACACGGAAAACTCCACATGACCAGTTCTTGGTTCAGGCGCGAACCCGCGACTGAACCAAGAACTGGTCAATTCAGTAGTCTGATGATAACACGACAATAAGATTCTTACGTACGAACTTAAAAATTAATAAAGTAACAACGTATTCGTTAAACAAATACTTATTGTTTTGTACTATTTAAAAATCCAGCAACTAGTAAATTAACTTTCCTGTCAACAACATTTAAAACTGCATATGGCACCATCTGTTATATTTTATTTAAATATTTATGTTATTAATAAATTACTATAAAATGGCAAAAAACTTAATTTTTAGGTTAGGGATAAGTTTTATTTTTAAAAAAATTGTAACTGCTAATAACAAGTAAAACCGTCATCAAGTCCGACCCTACTCGATATAAGACACACGACCCCCTGTATCTCCCCACCTTCTTGATCTTTAACCACCAAAATTTAATAGCATCAATGTCCCTAATACGCAAATCTCCCTGCAAAATTTGAGAAAATTTCGACAAAAAGCTCAGGAGTTATTAAGCTTCAAATTTAGTCAACAAAATCGTGTTCCCACACACTAACATCTATACATACAGTGATCCCCCTTTTTTGCATTTCTCGAAGTTTGAAAATCATCGAGTTCAACGAATTTCGGTAAAAATCTAATGGATAACGACGACTATATTTCTAGTAGAAGCCACAAATAATACAAAAATATAACTAGTCATCCAGATAGTTAAGGAGGTTAAGACGTCGGATTTCCCGTCTACGGAATCGGAAATCGAGCCTAAACGGTCGAAAAACTCCTAGAAATTTTAGGGAATATATCAGGCCCTGTCCCTCACTCTATTGAGGACCTGGCCAAAACTATAATGGGCTTGATAAATAGGCCCTCAGTGCCGGAAAGAGTTTGAAAAAAAGGGCAAATAATGAGTTTTTTAAGAAACATTTCATTATAAATTCTATAACTTTATTTCTGTTGTTAGGTATAATTTATGTTTTTGAAACATCTATGATCTAAAGTCTCGTACGCAGGACGAGAATCACTGACCTTCATAGATGCACCCACCAGTGGCAAGTGGAACACAGGTCGTGGGTTCGCGCCTTGCCAACTGTAATTTACCTGGTTTTCTTTACATTAGTAACACCTAAATAGGGACAAGTTTCCTACAAAAGTCCTCCCGGGACATTTCTTCGAATATATACTAATATTTAATTTCTTTCGGAATGTGCTGTAATAACTAAAATTAATTTTGTTTTCCTCTAAGAAAGTAAACACTTCGCTCTCTTTGTCAATATTCTAGACTAAAAGTGAGGAAACCTGCGGCTTTCAGGTTATTCGTAATATTTTGTGGCTTCGAGTACTGGCGGATGAAATTGTACTACAGTTATAAAAACGTTTAGCCGACTGTTTTCTTTATTCTTTTAGATCGCAACGTGATGCGATTGGAAGTAATGAATGACATGCCACGTGCACGTCATTGCTTCCGAATACGTCACGAATTATCGACTAATCGGAAGACTTTTTCCTAGTCTACGTCACTCATCTGTTCATACTATATATTTCGAATTGCCGACACTCATAATTTTTCCGATATTCGGAAGAAGAATCCCCGTCTTTCGTCTCAGACAAACGACGTAACTAAAGGCCGATGCACACAAACCACTAAACGGCCCACCAGTGGCCAAGTGGTCTTCGACCCTGAACATTGGTAGTTTGGTTCGTGAGTTCTCGCCTCGCTCGGACAGGCTAGCGGCATGGAGTTTTTTCCGGGTTTTCTCCACGTCTGTAACACCTGAACTGGGGCCAATTTCACTTAAAACACCTCCCGGAAGACATTTTCTCCCCGCGCGCGTATGGCCATTCCATCTATAAAGCCGGCTAATCGGACGCATGCATCCATATTCTCATTGTCTCGGAGTACTGTACTGTACTTAGCCTATAGAGCTAATGGAAGGAACGGCGAAACTAGATCGAGACGCCTCTAGCGGCGACGCCAGGGAGACAGACTCGGTGCTACAAAGGCGGCACGTCACGTGCTTCTCCTTTTCGGAGCGAACGAATAATGATGGTTCTTAGAAGGCGTGGCTGTTTTGACGCAATATCTACCGAAACACTGAGAAAAAGTAACTTAAAGAAAGGAAAGCAAATGGTCAAATGTGGACACGTTTCCACACTGATAGAGATTTCCTTGGACGAGAACACAGCTCCAAACATGAATCGAGGTTCAACTGTTATCACTGGAGAAGTTTATTAGGTTTATGTAACAGCTTTTAACAATAACTATTAGTTTGGGTACCCACATCCTTACTCGACTTTTCACAAAATAAGACTGCAATATTATCTGTACTACAAAGTGGTTCCAGTGGCATGTTTGGTGGTTTCTGTGTCCCTATCTATGCTGTTACCCACATTCTCTACCTTTTCTTTTCTTTCTTGCCTGTCTTAAAAACCTATCAACATTTCCACAACCCCGTTTCTTGTAGCATGTTGAAAAAAGTGTGGAAACGTATGCTGGATGGTCAGGGTGATCAATCTTCCGTCCACCTACAAAATGCTGACTGCAGACTTTGCTGTACTTTGTGGGTTGCCAATGTTTCCCATATTTTCCGAAAAGTGTGTTTAATTTTACATATTATATTACAATTATCAGGCACTTTAGTCACTTTTTGAATAATGAATTACTTGAAATGATCTTTAATAGTGTCCCGTGGATGGTAATGACATCATTAAACATTTTTTAAATTTTATTATTTATTATCAAGATTTTAGGTTTTCAGAAATACGAAATTTTATGCTATTTTTAATGAGTTATTACTCAATGCACTACGTAAACAATGGTTAGTAATATAAAGTAGACTACGCTAAAAAAAAGCACTCTGGCCATTTGTAGAGATAATTACAATACATGCCATTAAATGTCACAGTTATATATACACACATAACTTTAAAAAATACTTTCAATGAAAATACCCAAGCAGAATACTTACTCAATCCGCCGAATTGCAGCCAGCCATTTCTCTTTCCTCCCAGAGTATTGTCCATTCGGGAACGAATAAAACTTTGTACCTGGCGGCGCAGTAATATAGGTAACACTACAACCGACCACACAACAGTTATTTTTTGAAGTTTTGTGTGGCAGAAAGCTGTGGTTCATTATCACAGGAAGAAAACAAGCACCGCGTTTCAGCACGTATCCAGCCCAAAGACGCAAAGACGTGTTTTCCCGAAGCAGTTCTCTTTGCCTGCGTACAGGTGGCGCTCAACCCAGTTCCACTAGCTCTATATATGCTGCACATTCCATATTTAACCATTTCAAAAAAAAAAAAAAAAAAAAAAGCCACCAATTGAAGACGATGATTAACGTCAGCGGTATGCTCGACCAGTCGTCAACGACACCTCATATCACAAACGTAGACAAATGAATAAATTACTTTTAAGATAATTTTTCTGGATTTTGCAAGCTGTATAAAATATTAAAAGTAATGCAAGAGCGTTATAATATAATATAATAATTTCAAGAGGGATGGAAAAAAATATTTACAGTGTCGGGAAGTACTCGATCTTTAGAGTATTCCTCGTGCAGGAACAAAACAAAAAGAAAATTCGAAGAAATAAATCACGCCCTCTATGACTCCAATGCATGGAATTTAAAGTTTATTTTCGGTGCTATCGGGGTTTTTCACCATGGGAAGTTGGCAACACTGAAGCGCATGTTTACAATTCGGGTTAGCGTGGTTTGGTGGCGATGGCGATCGAGTGAGGCGATGCCTTTCGGAGTCAAACCCCTTTGTAGCATGTGCAAGACGACGGTTTCCTCCATGTGGAGGAAGAACGACAAAGGAGAAGTTATGTGCAATTCGTGCGTGGTCAGGACCAACCAGTCGCAAATGGAGAAGAAGGAAAGTTGTCAGCTCAATCTTCGGAAGAGTACCCGAGCCAAGAGTTCAAAGTTCAAGCAGTTCCAAATAAAATTCGGCACGTCCAAGGGCAAAGGTCGACGCGCGGCTCTCAAAAAACCCGTAAGATCCGTTGGTAATTTCCCTCTTAGATTCAATTCGAGCTCTGAATGAGATGTTTCAGACCTTATCACAGCTGTAGAGCATGCAAGTCCAAGGAACCATACCTGTACGAGCTATCTTAGACCAGATACGACCTCCAAAAATCGGGTCGCGCGAGATCGCCAGTCAAATCGCTCCTCCAAGACTGTTGCTTTTTACCATTTCGCCTGCGTGACTGTGCCGGCTTCGAGTAGCCCACTTGACTGTTCATGAAATACTTGATGTTATATAGCCCCACGCAGGCACTTCAGTGCAAGCGATATGCGTATGACTATGTGCTTCGGCTAGGAGCATCAGTCGGGGCAAGTCTCAATGACATGGAGCATAGAGAATAGGCAGTGTACTGATATGTGTTAAAAACCGACCTTTGGAGGCAAATATCTTGCAAAGAGTTGCATTTATAGGTATGGTCCTTTGACTTTTCTGCTTGTACAAGCAGGTCAAAAAACCCTCCTTCACAGCTTGAATCTTACCCTTTTTCCATACAGAACATATGAATATTTCACGTCTTGTTGGTATCATCTGCTATATTACCATGGTGTAAAATTCTTGAAAATTCTGCTATCTTGCATCTGTGGGTGTATACCAACGCTACTGGTAATTCAATGATCCAAAAGTTAGGATTTAATTATATTTACTTTGGTCGATTCAATACACAGATAGATGCATTTCGGTCCAACTTACGTTTCATGGCCCCTCGGTAACTTGTGTCGAATCGATGGTTTCCTTAAATATGAAAGTGTGCGAATGTAACGTGGAAGATATTTTGCACTGATACAATCCCAATCACTGGCTTAAGCCAGTGATTGGGACTTTCAGATTGCCTGCAGATGCAGGATTATGGAATTTTCAAGAATTATCTAATTAATACGGAAAATACTTTTAGGTATATATACATATAAGTATACAGATTCAATGATTTATTCACTGATATGCAGGTCACAGATTTAATATGGATTACAAATTATCTACAGGATCCTTAAAAATGAATTGGTAGATGGATAGCTTTAAATGTATCGGGTATGTAAAATTGTTTGATTACGTACATTAAAATGTTGGAAATTCTAAAATGGATTTGGTAATATCGGGAAACTTGAGCTATGGTATCCAAAAATTATCACAGTTGAAAGATTACTCCCAGAAGCATAAACATCACTTTGATATTTGAGGCTGAATGTTAGTGAAGCTTCTTCTTTGTGGTTTAAGGAATTGTGTTCGTTCTCAAAATTTGATCAATCAATTTTGATAAAATGTTTTCGTTTTCCATTAATTACGATGAATCAAAAAGTGTAATAAAAAAAATGGGGTCTGTGATTTTGTTTTTGAGATATAAGATTGCATGCACTCATGCTAGCAACTTTGGATGTGCAAGGATTGCCTCTTCGTGGCCTACAGGTGTAAGGATTGACTTCTCATGCAACCAGATTTTCTTTAGATCTCATGCTCGCACACTTTTCCTCTCATTCTCAAACGTACATGTCCTTACATACATATTCAAACATGTCGGTGCTTGGGTTAGATGGAGCAAAAAATAATTTATATTTACTAATACTAATTAAAAGATTTTTAATTACAAAAACATTGCTCTTCCTCAATTCTGTTTTGATATGAAAAAGTTGTGCAGTGTCTCTAGTTTATATTTGAGTTACAGCACCTATTATTTTTTTTCAGTAGTTTATTTAAAAGAGTAATTGAATAGTATTGATATGTGATAATTGTAATTAAGATTATACTCAGGCTTGTTTTCTTTCAAAATTCCCTACTTTACAAGCCTGATAGAGGGGTCCTTACTATTTTATGATCAATCAGATCAGAAATCTGTTATTTTAATAACAGTTACTAAATGAAGCTAGAAGTTTCTGTATTTATCATTGAGCTCTGACTTAACAAACAAAATTTCTCAACAAGATGCCAAGGTATGTGATTTTGGCATTAAGAATCTCTGTGATTTTCTAAATTTTGAGAATGTACTAGTGATGTTTACTAAAGAACAATATTAACTATATTATTTTAACTACATATAAAATAAATATATATGATCAGCTCTCCAATAATCAATACAATAGAGGATGCGGCTCTCATGTATTTCTGACGGGCAGTGTATGGCTTGTATTGTGGCAAGGTTTGGCTGCTACTGGTATATCTTTAAACAAACTCCTGAGTTTGTTTAAAATTGTCAGATGTAACTGGAAAATATATTGAAGAGAATTTGTTATAAATTTACCTGGTAGTCACATCAATAAACTATCAATTTATTATTACAAAATTTTCTTCAGTATTCTTATTGTATCATAATTAAATGGAAGGAAGTTTGCCATGTGTTATTGTATACAATAGGGAGGGAGGGAGTCAGACTGGCTTAAAAACTATATACATAATTAATGTAGGTTCCTATTTAACTTATTTTGAGATTTTAATTGACAATAAATGCTAAGAAATTATGGTTTTAGTAAATTAATGACCTAACCTTTTTTTTTTTTTTAGTCTACAAAAGCACCGACCGCCATGGCTACTCCAATTACTACCGAAGCTCTGTATCATAAGGTAATTTATTCATTATAATTAATTTCATTGGTAATAAAATTTGTAAAATAAAACAATTATGATAAGGTAAATCATATGAATAAAGATCGTATTGTTATCCTTAATTATTGTCTAATTTTACATTTTTATCTATACTAATATTATAAAGAGGTAATGTTTGTATGTAAGTTTAGATGTAGCGGGTAATCTCCAAAACTACTCATCCGATTTCAAAAATTCTTTCACTAATATTTAGAATGGAACTTCAGGGTGGACATAGGCTGTATATTATTCCGGTACACATTCATATAAATTAAAAAATATAATCTAGGTTAAGGTTTTTATGTCCAACAGATGGCGCTACAAGTATGACGCCCTAAGTTTGCTTTTCTGTGAGGCATTATGCTTTTCTATGAAAATGAACTAAAGCAGATCATCTTCTATCTATCTATATAAATAAAAATGTAATGTTCGTTTGTTCCTACCGATTCCTTTGAAATTTNCTAAATAATCCTATATTTATAGGTACAGTACAGTGTAGTATTTCATTCAGCAAGTAAAATATCCGAACGTTCAAACTATAATTTATTCAATTCTTCCTTCTATATATGCATTTCGAGTTAACGCGAACTCTTAACCCCTCTTCAGCACCCTTCAGTGTTATATAGTTCTCTTCAGGGGGATTGAGAGTTCATGTCAAACCTGTACAGCAAACCTACGACTAAGAGTATTAGCAAAAATATTTTTTAAATGTGTCAACATAGCAAATTTAAATACACAGTGATATTTTACAGAACAAATTCCAATACTTGTAAATTCGAATCGACTTTAAATGTAAACGTTTTGAAGCAGAATGTTTGCAAACTTTATACAGTATTGTGTTCGTTCTCAAAATCCATTTGGATAGATTTTGATTGAACTTCGTCATTTTCCATTCATTGCAATGCGGAATCCATGAATGCAATGAAAAATGGGGGTCCATGACTTTGTTTTGAAGATATAAGGTCGTATCATGAGCACTCGTGACAAAGCGATATCGCGCGACTTTGTCGTGCGATGTTTTATAATCTATAAAACTTTAATATACAGTAGAACCTCGATTATCCGGACTAATTGGGGATGAAGGTAGTCCGGATAAGGAAAAATCCAGATAATCGTTAAATACTTTAATTTGTTTTTTAATGATAATACAACACGTTTTTTTTTCTATTCGACAACATATCGGTAATATTAAAAGTAAATACAGTATTTAAATCGTAATCAAATTTTTAAAAAACAAACATTCGTATTGAATGTGTACTCCTACTGACCAGCGCTAACAGACTATCTATTGTTTAAAAGGTTCTCTGGTGGCGCAAGAAGACGGATTTTATAAAATAAAAAGCAGTTGAAACTGCATTTATATGAATAAAAATTTGACAAACTATTTATCGTTTTATGACGTGTAAAATTTTTTCGTCGCGTTCGCGGCTTTCAAGTAATGCATAAACCTTCGAGGCGCGAGGCTTTTCGGACCGCGAGGCATAGTCGGTGGCTCACGTCGTCCATGCCTTACGCCGCCGTTGATCATAAAAATGATGTAATTTGAATATAAATTATTTATAAATTCGTATGTCAAGTTATATTTTTATTACTACGTAAAATATATTTAAAAGTTTAAGACCACTGTGCCGGGTGAGACGTTGTTGAAACAAAAAAAGTTATGCATTCCATCACGTACATAAACAATGTCGTAATTCGCGAAGTGCAAATTAGCAAATTCGTAAAATTTTGGTTTATTTTGAACAATCCGGATAATCGAAAATTTGGATAATGGAGGTTCTAATGTATTTATATATATAATGAGAAATATTCATGTATTATTACCAACAAATTTATAATAATGATTATACCTTTTCAATTCAATTTTGATTAGTTAATGTGAGTTTCTTCAGCGATACTTGGAGAAAGATGAGGTAATTTCGAATACCTACGGGAGATTAGGAAAAAAGCAATGAAATTACATAATTACAACATCAAATTTTATTGCAAAATAAAGTTTGTTGAAACATCTACATCAGTGTTTTTCAACCTGTGGGTCGCGACCCCCAGGGAAGTCGCAAAGCCTTACACGGGGGTCGCGGGTGAAAGAAAATGACAAGTGTTTGTAGGTCTTACACTACAATAAAAAACACACCAGAATTTCAGTGAGAAGGCTGTGCCTGTTTATTTTACAGTACAATAGGTTTTTTGATCGATATTTATAAAAAGAAAATTAAATACGTAGTTTTTAAAATCACTGATATAGTTTAAATATGGCCCCGAAAGGTCGCCAGAATTTTTTAACTTCTAAAGGTATCGCGTATTCAAGAAGGTTGAAAAACACTCATCTACATTATACATACTTTTCGAACAAAATACACAATACGATGTTACATAAACCTAAGAAATTTTATCGATTTATCGAATAAACACAATCCACATCAAACTACATAAAATGTTTTAAGGTTTCTCCCCTTGAAAATCATGCACTTCGTCTAATCTCGAATCGGACGAACACTTACCACAGAGAAGGCTATTCCATGAGTGTAATCGAATAGAATCGTAAGTAAGGGAACGTGGAGAAATGACGTCGTCCACAATTACCTAACCTTTTTCTATGTAAATAAAGCGTTATAATTGTCTTGATAGATTGATACAGTGTAGAAAATATATCAATACTAGCTTAGCCGTCGCGCATTGCTGCGATCTCAGAAGAAACGAAATTCGAGCAAACTCGTTATGATAAAATTAAATTTTTATTTTATCATTTTTATTGAAACTTATTATTATTATTAGTTTTCATTGGGAAAACATTTCAAAGTGTTGTTTCAATTCTATTTATTTATTGGAGTGCTCGTGGATACACGATATTTTTTGTTTTTTTCGTCTGGTACGTACACGAATAAATCGGAAGGTTTTTCGACGCGTGAGCCGGCCACATCCAGTTGTTTACGCGAGAAGCACGGATTCTCTAATTTAAGCCCACACACTCGCAGCGATTGTCAGAAGTGCGATATTCCCCATTTTTATATATATATTTTTTAATCCTTTATAATTTTTATTATTTAATTGCTCCTTCCTCTCTTCCTTGGCATGTTGTGAAATTTCTGATAGTTGGATAATAAACCGTTTTATTGTAATTTGTCTTTTTAAATTATATTGAGTCGATATAAAAATTTAAAAAAGAGGGATACCTAGATCGGTAAAATAGGCGAATTTCTTCCTACAACTTCGGTCGTTGTTTGGGGTACAGTTAAGATTTTTACGAAGTTCGAGCGAATACATAATTAGCAAATAAGTCGAAATAAATTGATTAAACAAAAATTATTATAAATATCGTGAATAACAGTTCACAAATGCATATATAGAGATATTTTTTGAAGGGGGAAATGGTCTTCACAATTAGAAATTGATCGAACACACTGTGCGCGAATGCTCGTGTATAGGCACGCCATCTATCGTAGGATAAATGTACTTCGCGGAAGTCTATTAAAAAATTTAAAAACTTTTCAAAGCTTTATGGCAATCGTACTATGCCACAAACCTTCGTTGGAATATATTAAACAACTTCTTAAAGTTTCACGGCAATCGGATAGACAGTGTTGTAATGCATGAAGGACACACACACATACATTCATTTTTATACATATAGATAATGCATTTAATGCATTGTTTTCTAAATGAGTTTGCTTTTACAGAAAGATTGTGTCTGAGCCGCTAAAAATTATGTCAAACCAGATAAAAGAGAATAAAAGGCATTCATTATCTGAAAAATACAGTTTGTTTGTTTAGTTATGGCAACACAACACTTCGGCGATCTTCCTAGGGGGATGCCTTTTGGGAGGTCTTTTTAAGGGAAACTGACTCGTATCTAGTCGTTACAGACGTGGACTCCAAGTGACCAGCCCGTCCGAGCGAGGCGCGAATCCACGACCGAACTGCTATTGTTCAGGTACGAAGCAGTGTTGCCGCAATGAAGTTTTAAATCGTACTGAAGCGCCTTCAAAAAATGTACTATTGTCCTTCAAAATGTACTAGTTCTATGAAAACTTTGTTTACGTGCCTATATATATAGGCACATAATTTATGTGTATATAAATTATTATATATATATACAATAAACTATATATATATAAACTATATATATATAGTTTATTGTATATATAGTCGTATCCTGAGCACTCGTG